CTGCCTTCTGAGCTCTGTGTCCTGAGTCCCCTGTCCTGGGTTCTGCTCTCACAGCTCCAGTCCACTTCACCCTCCCTCTGCCAGAGCACCAGGTGGGTGGCTCCACAGGGAATTTTGTGTGTTGGCCCTTTAAGAGGGCGCCCCAACGTTTAGCTGCCACTCCCTGGCAGACAGCACCCCACTGTTTTTCACAGCTAGATGTTATGCGGGTACCCTCCTCAGTTCTGGTGCTCTCTGCTGGGGGGCCCAGCTTGGGGATTAGACCCCAGAGTTCTCAGTGGCACCCCCCACAGCTGAGATATCTCTCTGGGACTTCAGTGCCGTCTGTGGGTGCCCGGCCAGCCCTTTCGCCCCTCCGCCCCTCCACCCCTCCTACCAGTCTCTATGCGTCTCCACCTTCGGTCCTTGGGTATCAGGGTTCTCTCCTGCGAGGTTTCCGTTGATTATTCGGGAAGTTTTTCTGTATTTTAGTTTTAATACCAGTTTGTTCCTGGGAGCGTGTCCATGCCAGATATCTTCTTTTTTCTTAAAGTACAATTGATATACAACATTATATGAGTTTCAGGTGTACAACGTAACAACTTGATATTTGTATATATTGCAGAATGATCATGACAGTAAGTCTACTTGGCATCCATCACCACCTAGTTACAATTACTTTTTCTTGTGATGAGAACTTTTAAGATCTATTCTCTTAGCAACTTTTAAACACACAACACAGTACTGTTAACTGTAGTCTCCATGCTGTACATTACATCCCCAGGACTTACTCATTTTATAACTAGAAGTTTTTACCTTTTGACGCTCTTTTTGTTATTGATTATTAGCTCAATTCTGTTATAATCCGTGAACTTATTCATGTGATTTAATTATTAAAAATTGTTGACATTTGTTTTATTGGCTAATCTTGGTTGATGTTTCATGTGCATTTGAAAGAATTTATGTTCTCTTGTTGGAAAGATAGTACTATGAATATTATTAGTTAAATCAAATTGGCTGATGGTGGTGTTCACATCGGCTACATCCTTTCTGGTGTTTTGTCTAGTTCATATATCCCCTTTTTATGTGGGACACCCTGACCTGTGAGGTAGACATCTTAATTTTCTCTTACAAATGCTTTGTTAATTTTCTTAGTCTTGATTCTTGCTGTGCTTCATTTTGGATTATTTCTATCACTTATCTTCAGGTTTATTGATACTCTACTGTGTTTGATCTCCTAAAGCCTATCTTGTTTATATATTCTTTGAAGATGTTTTTTTTTTGGTTTTTTTTTTAATATATTTTATTGATTTTTTACAGAGAGGAAGGGAGAGGGATAGAGAGCCAGAAACATCGACGAGAGAGAAACATCGATCAGCTGCCCCCTGCACACTCCCACTGGGGATGTGCCCACAACCCAGGCACATGCCCCTGACCAGAATCGAACCCGGGACCCTCCAGTCCGCAGGCCGACGCTCCATCCACTGAGCCAAACCGGCCAGGGCGAAGGTGTTTTTTTTTATAACACAACTAGAGGCCCAGTGCACAAAAATTTGTGCACTCGGGGGGAAGAGGGGGTCCCTCAGCCTGGCCTGTGCCCTCTTGCAGTCTGGGACCCCTTGGGAGATAACGACCTGCTGGCTTAGGCCTGCTCCCGGGTGGCAGAGGGCAGGCCCAATCCCTAGGTGCAGCCCCTGGTCGTGTTCAGAGCAGGGCTGATTGGGAGTTGGGGCGCCGCCCCTGTCATGCACAGAGCAGGGCGGATCGGGAGGTTGCGATGCCACCCTCAGTCATGCTCAGGGTAGGGCCGATTGGGGGGTTGCGGCACCGCCCCCTGTCACACTCAAGGCAGGGTCGATGGGCATGTTGCGGCGCCACCCCCTGTCACGCACAGAGCAGGGCCGATCAGGGGTTTGGGGAGCTCCCCCCGTCACTCACAGAGTAGGGCTGATAGGGGAGTTGGGGCACCGCCCCGTCACACACAGAGCAGGGCGGATCAGGGGGTTGGGGCGCCGCACCCTGTCACACTCAGGGCAGGGCTGATGGGGAGGTTATGGCTCTACCCCGTCACACACAGAGCAGGGCCCGTGGAACGCAGTTGGGGCACTGCGCTCTATCACCCACAGAGCTGGGCCGATCAGGGGGTTGGTGCGCCGCCACTGCCACACACAGAGCAGGGCCCGTGGGGGGTGGGGGGTTGGGGCGCCCCACCCTGTCACACACAGAGCAGGGCCAATAAGGGGGCTGGGGCACCGGACCCTGTCACACACAGAGCAGGACTATCAGGGGGTTGGGGCACCGCAGCCTGTCACACACAGAGCCGTAGGGAGATCAGGGGGTTGGGGAGCTCCCCCCTATCAGGCACAGAGCAGGGCTGATCAGGGGGTTGGGGCGCCTTCCCCTGTCACGAACAGAGCAGGGCAGATAGGGAGGTTGTGGCCCTGCCCCCTGTCACACACAGAGCCTCAGGGCGATCAAGGGGTTTGGGCGCTGCCCCCTGTCACGCTGATCCCGGTGCTGGGAGGCCTCGCGGCTCCGCTGATCTGGGTGCTGGGAGGCATATTACCCTTTTACTATATAGGATAGAGGCCTGGTGCACGGGTGGGAGCCAGCTGGTTTGCCCTGAAGGGTGTCCTGGATCAGGGTGGGGGTCCCCACTGGGGTGCCTGGCCAGCCTGGGTGAGGGGCTGATGGCTATTTGCAGCTGGTCACACACCCTTTAGGGTGGGGTCCCCACTGGGGTGCCAGGCCAGTCTGGGTGAGGGGCTGAGGGCTGTTTTCAGGCTGGCGGGTGACTGAAGCTCCCAAACGCTCCTTTTTTTCTTTTTTTTTTTTTTATTCTGGGCCAGCTTTAGCTCTGAGGCTTGGCTCCAGCCCTTAGGCCTCTGCTGCTGAAAGCAGGTTTCTGGCCTTTGTTTACCTTCTGTATTTGAAACAATGTTGCGATCCTGCTGGCTGAAGCCCGGCCGACTAAAGCAGGTTTCTGGGGTTTTGTTTAGCTTCTATATTTGTAACATAGTTGCTTAGAGTTGCAGCTCAGAGGCCAGCAGCGGCAGGCGGGAAACGTTGGAGTCCTCCGTCACTGAAGCAAGCAAACCTCATGTTAGCTTTAAGCTGCCTGGCTGCCGGCCGCCATCTTGGCTGGCAGTTAATTTGCATATTGCCCTGATTAGCCAATGGGAAGGGTAGCGGTCGTATGCTAATTACCATGTTTCTCTTTTATTAGATAGGATACACTTGTGTTATTCTATTTAAGCTACTTACTTTGTGATAATTTGTTACAGCAGGAAACTAATACACTTTCACCCACCAGCACATCAGCTCCAAGAGGCCAGGATGTGTCTTGTTCGCGGCCATGTCCCCAGCACCCTGAGCAGGGTCTCACTCATGGGAGGTGCTCAGGAGATATTTGTTGATTGACTGGACGGCTGTTTCAACAACCAGGAGCTCCATCCCCTGGACTGAGATGAATGACCCAGAGTGGTCATCTGATCTTTTAGGATGTTTTTCATCTCTAGAAGTTTTGTTTGCTTGTGTTTTACACCTTCACTTTCTCTCCTCGTGTTTATGCTTCCCCTCTACTTTCTTGAACACATGGAGTTTATCTGTAATCTCCAGTTTCAGATCCTTGTCTCTTGGTAGCATCACATCAGTTATTTTGGGGTCTGTTTCTGTTGCTTAGTTTCCCTCCTGGTTAGGTGTCATATTTTCCTGCTTCTTGGTTTTGTTATTGGATGCTGGACCTTGTGCATTTTACATCGTTGAGTGGCAGGTTTTGTTGTATTCTTTTAAGCTGCATTGGACTTGGACCAAATGCAGTAACTGAAGTTAAAATCTGTATCAGCTGAGTACACACTTAAGGACTTACTCGTCATCTTGTGCCCTGTTTATAAGGCCTTCACCTCATCCCTTGTCAGCAGGAAGCGTTACTGTCCCGGTTCTTGGTTGCTGCTCCGAGTCTGTCCTGTGTGCCCGGCAGCGCTGTTGGTGTGGAACACAGCAAGAGCAGGCCAGGAAAGGTGATTGAGGTCACCACACCACTCATTTGAACAGGGACACGCTTACATAGAGAACTCGCTACCCAGATCTGTGAAAGGAACTTAGAAGGGTCTTGGTGGATCCAGGGAGCAGCCACTCGAGCATGGGCAGGGGAGAAGGTGTGGTTAGGGTCCTGGGCAGCAGAATGGCTGCTGAGGAACTACAGGCCCAGCTGGTGGGCTCGCTGGGGTCCCCCTCACACCCCTGGGTAGCAGGAGCAAGCTGAGAAAAGGCAGGGAACCAGGGGGAGACCTGCCCCCGCAGTGCCCCTCCAGCACCCTCTGCTGACAAGGCTGGACATGGTGCCACTGGCCAAGGAGCAGTGTGCAGGGCCTGCCCTTCACAGAGCAGGGCTGGGAGGGTGGGCTGCAGAGGTAGTTGATGGCTGGTTCAGCCTGCTCCCTGAGTAGGTGTTGATCTTTCCGCTGAGGCATGACAGGTAGAGAGAATTGTCTTCAGGATTGAGTGGGTCAGCGCTCCAGGCAAAGGGGGTGAGTGCAGCGAGGTTAGAGCAGAGTCTGCATTGGAACCTGGAAGCCCGTGGTCAGGAAGGTCGTTTGTTTCCAGGTGTGGAAGGTTCCACGCGGGAGTTCCATGCTGGCTCACTTTGGAGTCACTCTGGCTGTGGCTCAGGAGCCCAGGAGGAGGTGGCCCTGGTTAAACTTGGCCAGCAGCAGGGGAGACCCGCGTGTGGTCTGAGCGCTGCAGCCAGGTGGGCAGAACAGGAGCGCCGCTTCACCGGCTGCCTGCCACCCGCCTAAGGAGTGACGCCAGCCCTCGGGGATGGGCAGACTTGAGGGGTGACAAGAGGAGGAACCATGCATTTTCTCCACGTGACTCTGCCCTTGGTGCCAGAGAGAAAAAGTCCTGTGTAGCATTCGTTCAGAAAGTTCCAGTGTCTCGGTTGTGTGTTTTCTAAAAGGCATGTTTCTGAAATTTGCATGAGCATTTAAACATGAGTCTGTGCTGTTCTCTCTTTCAAGCAGGGCCAGGACTTCCTTCTCCACGGCCCTCTGGGCGGGTCCCCGGCAGAGGCAGGCGGCGGGAGGCTGGCTCTGGGCACCCAGCCACTGCCCTCCGACACGTCTTGTGCTTGTGAGGCCTGCAGCGAGCGCAGGTACGGTGGGCGTGCCCGAGAGTGGGTGCTGGGGCTGGGCAGGACCGGCTTCTTCCTAAAGGCCACACCCTCCTGAGGGGGAACCAGTGGCCAGGCGGTGGTCAGGGAGACCGGGCGAGTGAAGCTCCTCCCTCCTTCCCGCCCTGAGGACTGACAGGAGGGAGCGAGTCCTCAGGAGGGACAGGAGCCAGGACTCAGTCATTGGAACCCAGGGTTGGTGGAGTGGACTGGGGCCGGGCCGTGGTGGGGGTGAGAGCTGCCCAATGGGCCCGGGCAGTGGAGGTCTGGGAGCGGGGCTGGTCAGCATTCCCTATCCCTGTTGTGGGAGGGGGCCAACATCTCCCAGAGACGAGGTCTCGGGGACTGGCTGACCAAAGGCACCCCAGGGGCTGTGCCAGCCCGCTGCATCGACAGCAGAGCCGGATGGAGTGGGGAAGGAAGTGGGTGTGGACGGGAGGGCCGTGATGGAGCCGGGGATGGCGAGGGTGGTGCTAACTGACCCTGACCCCCTGCCTTGTGCTGCCTCACAGAGAGATCTCGGCAGAGACGGACCGGGAGCCGCAGCAGCTGCAGAACTACTGGTCTGAAGTGCGCTACATGGTCCGCTGCATTTACCGCCAGGCGGGGACCCCGTTGGCAGACGACCAAGACCAGTCCCTGGTGCCTGATAAGGAGGGGGTGAAGGAGCTCGTGGATAGGTACACGTGTCCCCTGTGTCTTGTCCTTTCTCGCCGGTGCCCAGGGAGCTGTGCTCTCAGGGTCTGGGTGCACTGCGGGGACTCAGCAGACACCTGGCAGGAGGGAGCCCTCTGTGTCAGGTTACAAGCTCTGGTTTGCTGAAACCCTTACTGCCCACATAGTGGGAGTGGAGTCACCCTTCTGCCACTTCTCGTGTTGAGATTGACACTAAGTACTTCTGTGCTGGGTGCTGCTGAGCACTGGCTTAGCCTGAGGAAGACATTGGGCAGCTGTCCCGTCCACGCAGGCTCCGTGCAGCACGGCAGCTGGGGAACAGGCACTGCATGTGAGTGGCCAGCGCTGTGGCCAGGCCTGCCCGTGGGTGTCTCAGACGGCAGTGGCTTACACGTGGCGTCTGCTCTTCAGACCCCCCATGCTCATGACAATGCAGAATTTGAGGTGGACCTAATTTTTATTTTTCCTTATAGTCTTAGCATCTTTTTTCTCTTTTTTGAAATGTTCCAAATAAAAGTGATAAATTTGAGTTATACATTTCATGGATTGGTTCTCATATTGGTTTCTTTTCCTCACGTTTTGAATGCGGCACCTTCGGGGGTTTTATAAACTCTTGCTTGCTGTGCCTTAGTTTATCCCGGACACGGGAGTAGTGGTTGGCCGTGGGCTGTGCTGACTGGTGGATGGATTCCGCCGGTGTGTTAGGGGTTTGACCTGTGAACCCCTGCTGTTGCTGAGCTGGTTCCAGGGGGCCAGGTACCGTTTTTGCAGTTAGATTTCCCAGTGAGCGGTAGGAAGATCTCGGCAACCTGCACATGAGAACCGTGACTTCACGGCTTAGGAAGAGCCTAAAGTGAGACCAAAGGCAATTGAGAGAAAATCTGCAGCAGCTAGTGTAGCGGAGGGAGGTCTGGCAGAGATGGGACAGTGGGCTGTGGGTGGCTGAGGGTTGGGAAGCACGTTACCTAATAGTGAAACCCACTGTTAGGCTTGGGTAAGCCCAGTGCCCGTGCGGTTGTAGGTACTGTGTTATTCTTAGTCTTTGTGTCCCAGAGCACTTTGTGTTTACATCCCGATGAGTCAGGAGGGATGCCTGTGAGGCCCCTTTCCAGGGCTTGTCTCCTGGTGGAGGTGACCCTCTCCTCTCCCACCCTCGCATCCTGCGGGATCTGCTCTGCTGCCACCTCCTGCCTCCTCTCCTGTCCCACACCCTTCATTCCTGCCCTGGGGCCTTGCATTTGCTCTTCTCTCTCTGGCATGTTCTTCCCTTTTCAGGGTTTCTCTCTTTTTTTTCTCCTTCCATCATTCACATTAGTCTTCAGGCAGCTTCTCAAAGAGGTTCCCTATCTAAAGTCTCAGGGCCTCCTCACATCACCCGTGACACTCACCTTTCTTTTCTTAAATTGCTGCCCACCAACCACATTGCATGTGTGCGTGTGCGTGTGCATGGCGGCATGACCTCCACCACACGGGGCATTGCAGTGCAAGTACGTGTGGATGACAACATCTCCGGCACCCTCCTTTCTCTCAGTGTATAACTTTAAGAAGATCTACTTGCAAAAGTACGGCGATCATTTCATTACATTCATAAGATCAACAATGGACAAGGAAAGAAGATGAAATGTGTGACTAATTTCGCCATGCTCATTAGATGTATAACTAAGAAGGAGGTGTCCAGTCTACCTGTACGTTTGATTGTCCCTGTGTCACTCGAATCTTGTGTGGGTTTTCTTTAGCAGATGAAAAACATTCTGTTTCAGCGGACAGGTTGCTAGAGCAGTGATCGCCAACCTTTCGGACCTCACGGACTACCATGGTCCACAGACCTTTGGTTGGCGACTGCTGTGCTGGATTATTCTGCTAAAAAATCAGTTTATCTCTGCGGAGTGTACTAATCCACAGTGGTTTTTACTGTGTTCTAGCCACATTTTGTATAAGATGTCAATGTTCCATTGCAGGATTTTACGTGGCCTTTGTCTTTTACAGCCTAGATGGTGTGGCCATTTTAAAGTGGGATAAAGTGGAATAGGTGCCCTGGCCAGTGTGGTTCAGTTGGTTGAACATTGTCCTGTGCACTAAAAGGTCGCTGGTTTGGTTCCCGGTCAGGGCACATACCTAGATCGCCTGGTTGATCCCCTGTTGGGACGAGTATGGGAGGCAACCGATCAGTGTTTCTCTCTCACATCAATGTTTCTCTCTCCTTCTCCCTTCTCCTTTCTCTAAAAATAATCAATAAAAACATATTTAAAAAAATAAAGTGGAGTAGGCGATAACTCACCTTTTTCTCTTTTGACCAAATGTGGTGCCCAGCGGTGGAAGGATTCACTCTATAAAGAGCAGGAGCTGTGAGGCGCCGTGTATTTACAGCTCGTGTCTAACACAGCGGCCACTCCACTGACTGGGTGTAGCTGGATGTGGGGTTGCTGCTGCCGTGTCCTAGGTTTCCATCTGCAGGCTCCTCAGAGGCACACGATGAAAAGTGACGCCAAATACTGCAGAGCAAGTCAGAAAAGCAGTGCATGACAGTGTTAACTTACTGTGGCTGGGCCGGGGGATGCATTAATTTTTTCTTGCTCTTCAGCTTACAAGTTTTATTTTATTCTTTTATTGGTTTTCTGGTGGGATGATTTAAATAAGATATGCTGTCTGTACATTTCCCCTGATTTTGAAAATAACGCCAGCCCCTTTGGGTTGTGCACTGCGTTCCTGGCAGGAAGGAGAAGCAGTCGGTGGCCGCCCCCCACCCTGAGATTACCTCATTAGGGTCACTCTGTTCACCTGTGACCATACCAGCATTCAAACATATTACTTGTCTTCAGCCGCCTATGTTTTCACTTCAGTGGTCCAGGGTGGAGAAGGCCCATCTCCGGCAGCCGCCTCTGCACTGCTGTTTCTGCTCTGCCACCTGCTGGCTCCGTAGGCTTCAGCTTCAGTGTTCAGTAATGTGAGAGCCCACGTGGGTAGGTGACTGAGTTAGTGCAGGTGCGAGTCAGCCCACCAGGTGGTGACTGAGTTAGTGCAGGTGCGAGTCAGCCCACCAGGTGGGTAAATGAGTTAGTGCAGGTGAGAGTCAACCCACCAGGTGAGTTAATGAGTTAGTGCGGGTGAGAGTCAGCCCACCAGGTGGTAAATGAGTTAGTGCTGACACAGAGTAAGGTCTCAATAAATGTATTTTTTCCTGGCTGTTATGGATGGCGTGGGAAAGTTCCAGACACTTTCTGCCTGTCTCCCTCTGTTGCCTTGGACGAATGTTTCTCTCCCGGTGTGAGAAGGTGGTGGCATTTCAGGTGGGCTCCTGGGGAAAGGCTTCAGGAAAGATGCTCATGGATATAAAAAGGTGCTCGAGGGGTGATGCGGGGTCCCGGGTGAGTGGTGACTGTCCTTCTCTGTGCAGGCTCTGCGAGAGAGACCCCTACCAGCTGTACCAGCGGCTGGAGCAGCAAGCCCGAGAGTACGTGCTGGAGATGAAGGTCCGCCTCCTGCGGCAGTTGTCAGCTGCAGCGCGAGTGCGGGCGCCGTCTGGCCTACAGGGCCCACCGCAGGCCCACCAGTTCATCTCCCTGCTGCTCGAGGAGTATGGCGCCCTCTGCCAGGCGGCACGCACCATCAGCACCTTCCTGGGCACTCTGGTAAGAGCGTGTGCCTTTCTGGGCTTTGTTGGGAACTAAGCTGTGTAATGGGTGAGGCTGAGACCTGGTGGTGTCGTGTGCAGTCCAGATCCCCTCCCTGTGATGTTCGGGGGCCGGGCGGAGCCTGCCTTCTCTCCTCTCCTCCCCCCTCCCTATCTGCTGCTGATAAGTCTTGAGTGGATGGATAGGCAGTGACGTGTCATGAAACACTGTTTGGAGAGCGTGAGGCCTAGGGAGCGAGGCAGGCAGGGGACAGGATGCAGTGAGGACCAGTGTGTGGTCAACAGGGACAAGAAGGAAAAATGTCCGCATTGTCAGCTGGTCACTGTCGTTACTGTACACAGAGGCCCGTGTTGGATGGGATGTATGCGGGGGCGCCTGCTCATGGGGCCTTTCAGTCCTTTCACTGGACAGTCCAAGCCGGAGGAAGGATGGGTGCTGTCCAGTCAGGTGCCGTCCCCACCCCTGGGTCTTGGACCACCACCAGGAGTAAAGGTGGGGGGCGTGCTGTGGAAATGGAGTTCCTAGAAACTGGATGTGCTGAGGTCATTTGGAGACAGGCCTGCTGGTTGGAAGCTGACCTGCTCCCCAGAGACAGCCTCTCGCCTCCTGTCAGAGAAGCACCTGTTCACCAACAACAGTCTGGGCCTCTGTGTGTGTGTGTGTGTGTGTGTGTGTGTGTGTGTGTGTGTGTGTGTTTAAATATATTTTTATTGATTTCAGAGAGGAAGGGAGAGAGAAAGAAGCATCAATGATGAGAGAATCATCGATCGGCTGCCTCCTGCACGCCCCACACAGGGAATCGAACTGTGACCTCCTGGTTCATAGGTCGACGCTCAACCACGAGCAACACCGGCTGGGCTGGGTTTTGTTTTATTATCACTTAAATTTTATTAAATGGTACTTACTGGGCTGGTATTGGGTGCTTTCTTAGTGATAAAACTACACTTTGAAACAAATATAGTAAGTGGCTCCTAAGATTTTAAGCCCTAGTGGTCTGTATGTGATTCTAAAGTTGACAGACTTTTCACCAGAAAAGTTTACAAACACCATTTTGCAAGTCATCTCGGGCCCAAGGGCCTCCCTTGAGCGTTGATGCAGTAGATGTTGGCATTCCTCCGTGACTCCCTATGACCTCAAGGAAAGCACTCGTTTTAGAAAAGCAGCTGGTGAGTGGCGGGCCGTGGGCCGTGTCAGGACCGTGTCAGAGAAGCGGAGTTCGGGGCTGAGCGGGCCACGCTGCCTCAGGGCCGCGCCTGCAGCCGCACCTGCAGCCCCGCCTCCACCTCTGCCGCCTGGGCCTCGCCCTGCTGCCCAGAGGTCCAGATCCCGCGCCGCCTCCTCTGTGACAGCACCTGGGGCTCCCGCGCTCCCGCCTGTACCTGCCTGGTGCCCTGCTGTGCTGCCTCCATGCAGGCCCCGGCCTGTCAGATAGGGCGCTGTTTGTGACGCTAACAAAAGTTAGTTTGAACCACATTTATTAGAGCAAATCCCTAGCAATTTACACAGAAATGTTTTCTTGTGGTTTGAAAAAAAACCTCATGAATTTTAAGCGCAAAATACAGCTATTTGGTCAGTGATTCATTCCACCTTGTTCACAAGTAGCGATACTCACTTTGGTTTCCAGTGGCCCAGCAGCGAGGCTCTCGGAGCACTTCTCTCCCCCAGGGAAACAGGGAAGTGCTGGTAACAGACTGAACAAGGTGGCAGGAAAGGCAGAAGCCTCAGGGCTGAGAAGTTCACATGCTCAAAAGCCCACGTTCACCCCGGGCTGCGGCCTGCGTCCCTCCCAGGGTGGGGCCTACACGTGATGCTGGGACCACCAGTGATGGCACCTCAGTGTGAGGTGACGCAGAGGCTCCAAGCACTGGATTGACAGCGGGACATGCGCCCTCTGACCGGGTGGGTCGGTGACGGGGAGGGGGCCACAGTCTCGTCTCCTGGAGATTGTAACAGAGCTGCTGCCGCAGAGGTGCGTGGTCTGACAGGTGCTGCTGGCGTCGCTGGGAAACTCGAGCTTGGGCTGACGGCCCTGCGTGCTTCCGGGCTGCCAGTAAAGCAGCCGTAGGCCACTCTGCGGGGCTGTCCATGACCTACGTACCCATAGACCATTGTCACACCCACAAAGCTGAGAGTGGTTTGTTTTTATGGATTAACACCCAGTCCATATAAAACTTTCCCCATTGGCTCAAAAATCTCTTTATGGCTGGAGTGTTCAAATGACGATCCAAGAAGGTTCACAAACGGATCACAGAGTCCTTCCCGGCCCATCCTGTGATCCCCATGGTCTGAAGAGTGCAGAACTGAGCTAAGAGTTTTCTGAGTCAGAGCAGTTCTCCATAGTTTGGGACTTGGGGTCCTTTAAGCTTACAAACAGGGCCCCAAAGAGCTTTTGTTTATGTGGACTTTTAATCAATATTTACTGTATATCCTCACCCGAGGATATTTTTCCCATTGATTTCTAGAGAAAGTGGAAGGGAGGGAGGGGGAGGGGAGAGAGAGGAAACACTGATGGGAGAGAGACACGTCTATTGGTTGCCTCCCTCACGCACCCCTATGGGGCTGGAGAACTTGCAACCGAGGTACGTCCTCTTGACCAGAACTTGAACCCAAGACCCTAAGGCGGATGCTCTGACCACTTAGCATCTGGCCAAGGCACAAATAGCATATTTTAAATAAAACATTAATTTTTTCAAAGCAACACATTTACTTATTTTAAATATGTTTCTGTTAATTTTAAAGAGGAAGGGGGAGAGAGAGAGAGAAACATTGATGAGAGAGAACTATCAATTGGCTACCTCCTGCACACACCCTACCAGGGATCGAGCTTGAAACCCAGGCATGTACTCCTATTGTGAATCGAACCAGCAACCTGTTTGTGCAAGGGTTGACCCAACCAACTGAGCCACACCGGCCAGGGGCTAACGTATTTACATATTTGCACATTTCTAGTGTCTGGCCCTGGGTTCTCCCCTGCTCTGCGCACAGCTTGCTGTGCGAGGCTGTGTTGGCTGGGCCCTGAGGAAGGCCTCCCGGAGATGTGTATTGGGGACGGGAGGAGTGGGCGGCAGCCTTTCAGATGGTGGGACTTTTCTTAAAGTCCACCAGAGCCGAGTGCACCTACCACGGAAACTGTAGCCTCTGAAACCACGTGGCACAGCAGACCCACACTGGCTGCGGAACCCGCTGCGTAGCTCACACTTGGATTGGACCTGCTCATGCGCGGCTTCCTCACTGCACACGTCGATCACTGGACGCACTGGCTCCCCGGGTACGTGTCTTCAGCAACACGAGTCTCCGTGTGGAAATGACCGCTCCTCCTCAGAAAGGCCTTCAGCTGGAGAAGCCTCGCGGCACAGCGGCCGGGGCAGATTCCCTAACTCCGAGTTCCTGGAAGCTCAGGTTGGGTGATCGGCCACAAATGGGGTCCTGTGTTTTCCTGGAAGCAGCACGGTCACTGCGGTGTGACCCAGCCGGCTAACTCTCTGCCCTCCCTCAGCTTCTCCAGAAACAACACCCCTTCGTCCTGAGCCTGCAGGCCCATGGAATGCGTTTGCCTGGAAGGTATTTCCCCAAGCGTGACCTTCTGGGAAGTGCACTCGAGGGGTTCATTGCACGCGCCCTGGGGCCAAGCAGGTTGAGGGTCATGTGTTCCTTATCAAGCATTGAAATAAAGTGGGAACTAGACCTAACTTACGCCTCCAGTCCTCTGGGAAATGCCTGACCAGGCTGTGATGACCATGAGATCGAAGCTTCCATTCACGGGACACTCAAAGGCTGCACACCCTGTGTCTCAGGTCTGCCATGGGACCTGACGGCACACCCTCCTCTTCCAACTCCACACGTCGGCCTTGGAATGTGGGGAGTGAGGCTGGGGAGGCCAGAAAGCCCGGAACCACGGACTTTTCCTTCCTGCCTCTGCCCCTGGCCCGGCTCTGCCGTCCTCACACAGGCTCACCACTCGTAGTGCTGTGACAGCACACGTCAGCTGCGGCATCTCTGGCCCCAGCGCAGGGTCGGTGGTGTGAGCAGTACCGGCCTCAGAGACACTTGCCTCAGCACCTGCGACCGTCCCCCCTGGGTCCAGGCAGTGAGGGCGTTTGGGACCTCAGTTTCCACGTGCCTCACTGGGAGGGTGGCTTCAGATCTCACAGAACACACCCAGCATCTTCAGGAACGAATCTTGCTCTGTTACCTCCAGTAGCTCAGCCCTGGAGCCACAGCTGCGCCCCAGGGTTGTGCCTAGTGCCTGTGCTAGTGCCCGTGCTCACAGGCTGCCAGCAGGGCCCACAGCCTGTCCCGAAGGTGTAGGGGGCGGGGCAGGTGAGACCCGACTCCTGGGCAGTCCTGCGCCTCTCAGCTGGCCTGGGTCTGGTCTGCGGCTGCCTTGGCTCCTGCTGTTCTGTTGTGGAGATGGTCGTCAATTAGATCACCGCCTTCTCCTGTGCCCTGGGGGCTGCAGCGTTAGCCTTTGTGTCCCTGTGCCTGGCCCAGTGCCTGCGCACAGGGGTCTCCGCTGAAGTCCGTGGCACGTGTCCTTTCCTCGCTGTGGTCTGTGGCCATGTTGTTATAGCACATTGGGTGACAGGCTGAGTGCACCCCTCCCAGGTCCTGGCGGTCGGCGCGCCCCACTGCCCTGTGCTGAGCACTGGCTCCCAGGGCGGCCGGGTGTGAGCAGGGAGGTGTGGGTGGAGCTGGTGTGTGGGGAAAGTGTTAGGTGGAGCCGGCACAGGGCAGGGACACCACCAAGGAGGGTGGGCACTGAGATGCCAGGCCCTGGTGGACCTCCACGGTCCCGACCGCGGGGCTGGTGAGCAGCGGGGGCAGCTCTGCCTCCAGTGTTGTCCGCCTGTGCCAGGCACTAGTCTGAGGCAGGCAGTGGGGGCTTTGGGTGCAGGTCGGGTCATTGCTGCCATCCCAGCTCAGGGCATCCCAGCTCCCTTTGGCTGAATCGGAAATGGGCACAGACCACTGCATGTCACCCCGAGGAGGCGCAATGACGTGGGGAATGTGGGCAGGTTCCCGAGTGGCAGTCGCTCGGTCAGGAGCCTCCCCAGGGCCATAGGTGACTCGAGCACAGGCCATGCATGGAGCTTGCACATGGGAGCATGGATTCGCACGTGCAGTTCTAGCAAGACCTGTCAGGAGTGAAGGCTGCGAGTAGGGAAGGTCCTGTCGCCGCTTGCTGGCCACTTACGTGGTGTCTCGTGGAACAGTGCGCCTCTGTCAGAGGGGAGGTTTCTCAAGAGGCAAGAAAACGTGCCTGCATTTAACCCTTTGCGGTCATTTGTCTACTCTCAGCCACCAAAGCTTTTGTACCGTTCCGGTCGTATGTCTGCTCTCAGCCACCACAGCAAGGAACTGTATGAATCTTAACTCTATTCATTCATGTATCAGTTCATAATTTCTCTGAAAGCTCTTAAGTGTCTAAGCGACCTTGTCACGAACCAAAACATTGCCCCGACAAATCGGAGATACTGAAACTCAATATAAACAAACGCGGTCGTTCCACACTCGCCATGCGAAACACCGTGGCGAGTCAGTCGCCTTTTGAGAGTGAAGAAATCAACAAGCTTCAGAGATACTTCGCAGAATTTCAAATAAAGCTTTACAAATTACGTTTAACTGTAATTAGGCATTCTCGCTTGTTAAGATATTTCAAAATAATACTCCAAAATGGCAAAAAGAAAGTTACCAAAAGAAGTGGACTGCGAATCTGAAAGTAACGGTGAAGAGTTTTATTTTGGCACCTTAAATACTGACTCTGACATAGAAAGTGATAACGTTTGTAGTGATTTTACTAGTAGTGACGTAGTTCCAAAAAAGAATTAATGAATTTTGTTTATCCTTCATAATCTCGCATGTTATGTATCACTGCTCTTTCAATGGAAATTAATTCCGACCAGTACGACACCCATGTCCCAATTTAATACGACCGCAAAGGGTTAAATAACTGAAAAGGAGGGTTTTCGCTACATGGTGAATCTAATTATAAGGAATGACTATCAAGTATGTGCAGTGGTTTCTCTTCTTTCTCTGCCCTTTCCTGGCCTGTGGATCTCGCTGCGCTGTTTCTGTGTGCGAGTACAGGCGCGAGGCCAGTGGGCTGTGTGGTGCAGGCAGAGACCACCACCCGAGTCCTCGTGAGCAGAGCTGGGCCTGCGGGGGCTGGGGCAGGGGAGAGGGAGGGGTAGTCCTGAGGAATTTCAGTCTTCAGCAGCTCAGTACGTCTTCTGTTTATTTTTTTAACTAGGAAAATGAGCACTTGAAAAAGTTCCAGGTGACATGGGAGCTGCATAATAAACACCTGTTTGAAAATCTGGTTTTTTCGGAACCTCTTCTTCAGAGCAACTTGCCAGCATTGGTGTCGCAAATCAGGTATTTGGTCTGCACCTGCACGCACCCCGGGTGTGAGCACGCCCTTCTCCTGCGGGGCGTTGTGTGTGCCCCCCGGAAGCAGTGCAGCCTGGGCATCCTCGCTGGGAAGCCACCGGCTGTGGGGAGTGCAGTGGCGGGTCAGCTCCAGAGCGCTGAGCCCAATGAGTGGTTTCCAGTGAGAAGCTGTAGGCCCCTTGTCCCCACCCCACCCCCACTCGCCACAGGTCGCCATCTTTCTCCGACGCGCTGTGGCTTCCTCAGTGTTCACCTGGGCCTGTGTCTTCTGCTCCCTGTTCATGTCCTCATTTGCCGTCTTACCATGTTTCTTAACAAGATAAAACACAGAATGAATGAGCATATAATTATATTTTTGTTTGAATTGGATTTTCTATTTTACATAATTTGAAAACGAGGTCAAAAGTAGTATATTTCTCATTAAATATGTTGTTTACAGCCCCACATTTAGTAAATGGAATTGCTAGCTGGGTCTTAGTCATCTTGGGACAGTGATACTCAACCACTGACTTTTTTCTTAGAAGCTGCTCCTTCTTGGAGCTTCTCCTTCTTGCCAGGCTCTGTTCTGGGGCCTGCACATGTCCTTCGTGATCCCTCCCAGCAGTCTGTGTGGCGTGGGGTGGGTCCCACGTGTCATGTTGGGGCAGGTGACACACAGGAGCTGCCCTCTGGTGCTGCCCAGACCTTTGGACCCTTTTCTTTGTTGAAAGCCTTCTCTCCACAGGCTGGGGACCACGACACACGACGCCTGCAGCGAGGACGCCTACAGCACCTTGCTGCAGCGGTACCAGCGCTCCGAGGAGGAGCTGCGCAGGGTCGCCGCCGAGTGGCTGGAGTGCCAGAAGCGGATCGACGCCTACGTTGATGAACAGGTGTGTGTGCATGTGTGTGTATGTGGGGGGGGGCAGTGCCTGCAGGACTCAGCAGCAGGGGTCCAGGTCACCATCCGCCTGTCCGCGCCCCTGGTCCCTTTACCGGCTGCTGCCTTGGGGAGCTGCTGAGTCTCGTCGTTGTTTCACTGCTGACTGAACACCTGTCGAGAGCCAGGGGTGCACATCACATGTGACCTTCAGAGCCCGTCTCTGTCCCTCGCTGGCTAGAAGGGGACGCAGACTTGAACGTAGCCAGCCGTTCGGGGGCTCTTGGGGGAGAGGGGCCTGAAGACTGGGCAGCCAGGGCCTCCTAGGTGACAGGAACAGGCTTCCAGGTGGCACCTCGGCCCGCCCATCTCTTAACAGCTGCTGGCAAAAGAAAAATGCATTTCCTAAAACCTGCAGGCCGATACAGTATCACTGGGACTTGGCACCAGTTTGAAACTTCCATCCAAGAAGATGCTGCATAGCCCTCTGTGAGGTGGTTTTGTAGCCTGTGTTAGGCTTTTGGTGTGTGCACTTCTTACAGAGCTTACACCGGGTACTTTATAACGAGTGGCAGAGTAAATGGCAAAGTAAATTTCCTGAACAGCTGTGCTGGTATGTGTACGCCAGGCAGTTCTGTTCAGCCCTTGTTGGGCTCTTAGCTCTCCGCAGTTCCTAGCTGATGGCTGTGAATCTCTGCGCCAGGATGTCTTCTACAAGTAGTACTAGTTCTGTCTCTCCAGCGCTGGAACTCCGGTTGGTTGGTTCTGGCTTCGAAGGAGTTTGGACTTTTCACATTGTCTCATGTTTCTCACACGGATCGCTGATGCTTTTTATCAAGTTAAAGAAATTTCCTTTTTTATCCAACTTATTATGGTTATTTTTGTTTAAAAATCCGAATAAATATTAAATTTGATTGTGTATTTTTTATCCTTTTATACATTTCCAAAAGAATTAAGAGATTTTTTCCTAATTTTTTTTTTTTTTAAGGTTTCCTAATTTTTAGACATCCTTGCATTCCTGGGATTAAACCCTGCTAATTTATGACATATTACCTTTTTTTTTTTTTTTTTTAGAGAGAGAGAGAGGAAGGGAGAAGGAGAGAGCAAGAAACATGAACATAAGAGAGAAACATCTACTGGTTGCCCCCCATACGCACCTCGACCTGGTGTCAAACCCTCACCTGGGTATGTGCCCCAACCAGCACTAGAACCCGCAACCCATTGGTGCACGGATGATGCTCCAAGCAGCTGAGCCTCCCGGCCAGGGAGTGAGATGTTAGTGCTCATCCATCACGAGATTTAATTTGCGATGTTTATTTGGGACTTTTCTGTCTGTTCTGAGGCGCTGTGGTGCTCACTGCAGCAGCACATACACGAACGCTGAGCTATTGTGTGTGGGATTTTGTCTTTAGGTTCTCATCTATTTTGTATGAAGGTTATGCTAGTCTCAGAGAACAAATTGAGAAATTTTCCATGTTTTTAGATTTTTCAAGAATAAATTCTGTTCTGTTCCATAAAGGATTCGCTAGAACCGCCCTCCAAAAACAAAACAAAACAAAACCCTTTGGGCCTGATCTGTTTTGCAGGGAGGAGGAGCAGGACTGCAGATCTTTCACGGCCTTTTCCGTGCATGTGACATGTGTGAGCCTGTGTGGGGTCTCTGCTTCATGAGTGAGCTCCGCAGATTGCTGCTGGCCTAGGAAGCTCCGGGAGGGCGGCCCCAGCGCGTGCTCAGGGGGCGGTGGAAACGGGGCCGTGGAGGCGGTGGAAGGCCAGTCCTCCTGGGCTGCTGCACGGTCACATTTGAGAGACGCACTTTCTCCACGAAAGGGCAGTGCGTTGCCCAGCGGTCCCCGCAGAGCGCCCGCGAGCTGCTGAGAGGCCAGGAGAAGCCCGGAGCCTGCACCGCTCGCCAAGCCGCGAAGGCTTTTTCAGGGCGACTCCCTTTAAAACCGCTGCGGAGGCCCTGCTGGCAGCGTCCTTCAGTGGGAAGGTGTCCGCTGTACGGGCGGAGAAGCGTCTGCTCTGTGTGGCCTGTCCCCCTCCCGCTCTCTGCGCTGCCCCTGGTCCCTGGGTCGGCCTGCAAGGCGTTGGCAGAACCAGCTTCCGCGGTGCTGGGCACACCTTCTTTTCCCAGGCGTTTCTGCTTTACCTTTTGGCTGGTTTCCTGTCTTGTTAGGTCATTTTGGCTTCTTACATTGAACGCGTACTTCTCAGTCCTTCGTGATCTGCTTTGCTCTCAGTGCGTTTAAACGGATGCATTTTCTTCTGCGTTGTGGGCACATCTTATAAAACTTGATTTGTGGGGCTTTCATTGTCAATTACTTCAACATAGATTTCTTCTCTAATAATTTAAACTACTTAGAATTCTTTTCAAATGCAAGAATTTTACTTGATGAAATTATTCTTGTATGGAGGGTTTAGGGGTAGCCTTTTCTTGACTGTAGGATTGGATACATTTTGGGAGAAGAATGTATCCCCTTTCTGTCCTTTAGTGGATACTCTTAAGTTTCTAATCATTGTAAGATTGCATAGATCACACTGACACAGACACCGGATTCAGTCACCGAAGAGCCTCCCCCTAAGTAAGACAGCGCCTTGGGCCCGCTCTTATTTCCCCTCCATCTGTTCTTTTGATTGTGGTGACGCACACGTGACCTGACTTTCGTCATCCCACTCATTTCCGAGTGCCGTGCTCGCAAGGGAGTGCACTCATCGTGGTGAGCCTCTCCCTTCACTTCCAGGACTCTGCTATTCTGTCCCCATTAAACGGCCACAGCCCCCCCCACTTCGGCCCCCGGCCTCTGGCCCCCCTTCTGCTTCCTGTCTCTGGGCTCCTCGGGCTCCCATAAGTGGGTCACGCAGGCTTCACCCTGTCTGCCTTGCTCGGCCCACGGTCCTCAGGCCACACCGCCACTTGCGGGCTCCAGGCCACTGTCCTGCTCTGAGCCCCTCACGGGGACTGTCCGTCGCCTTCCTGTCTTCATGCCCAGCACGTGCAGGGCAATAGTGGACATTCAGTACGTGACAGTTTCGCTTACGGTCCTGACAGGCACACACATTGTTTAATTTCTCTTTATAATTTGCGCTCGTTTCTATGGTGATGCTGAGTTAGTGTGAGGTGCTGTTGGTTCCGCCCTTGCCCGCTGTACCTGCCCTGTCCCACGGCACCTGCCCTTGTCCATGGCACACCTCCCTGTCCCGTGGCACCTGCCCTTGTCCATGGCACACCTCCCTGTCCCGTGGCACCTGCCCTTGTCCATGGCACACCTCCCTGTCCCGTGGCACACCTCCCTGTCCCATGGCACCTGCCCTTGTCCCGTGGCACACCTCCCTGTCCCACGGCACCTGCCCTTGTCCCGTGGCACCTGCCCTGTCCCGTGGTACCTGCCCTTGTCCATGGCACACCTCCCTGTCCCGTGGCACCTGTCCTTGTCCGTGGCACACCTCCCTGTCCCGTGGCACACCTCCCTGTTCCGAGGCACCTGCCCTTGTCCCGTGGCACCTGCCCTGTCCCGTGGCACACCTCCCTGTCCCGAGGCACCTGCCCTGTCCTGTGGCACCTGCCCTTATCCACGGTACACCGCCCTGTCCCATGGCACACCTCCCTATCCCGTGGTACCTGCCCTGTCCCGAGGCACCTGCCCCGCCCCGTGGCACACCTCCCTGTCCCGTGGCACCTGCCCTGTCCTGTGGTACCTGCCCTGTCCCATGGCACCTGCCCTGTCCCGTAGCACACCTCCCTGTCCCGAGGCACCTGCCCTGTCCTGTGGCACCTGCCCTTGTCCATGGTACACCGCCCTGTCCCGTGGCACACCTCCCTGTCCCGAGGCACCTGCCCTGTCCCGTGGCACACCTCCCTGTCCCGTGGTACCTGCCCTGTCCCGTGGCACACCTCCCTGTCCCGAGGCACCTGCCCTGTCCCGTGGCACACCTCCCTGTCCCGTGGTACCTGCCCTTATCCCGCAGCACCTGCCCTGCCCCATGGCACCTGCCCTTGTCCACGGTACACCGCCCTGTCCCGTGGCGGGCTGCCGTGCTGACCATCTGACATCTCCCCTGGAGAGGCCTGCATGCACCTGCTGGCGCTGAGCTTGTGCTGCTTCCCTTATCAGATGGCTGTGCACACCAGGCAGCGCACACTCACAGAAGACTGGGAGCTTTTCAGACACAGGCGTTTCCTTGAAGAGCAGGTGAGGCCAGGATCCAGGGGTGGTTGCTCACTGCATAGCAAGTGGCTCTAAAAGACCAGCACTGTGAGCCTCACAGCCGCTCGTGGGCGGGTGATGCCCTGTCCAGCCTATACTCTCTGGTGACGCAGTGAGGCCACCACGTGCGCTGACCTCCCCACGGGACGCGGCCTTCCTTCCTCCAGCAGTTGGGCCCTCCACCAGCCTCTTGACAGTACTTGCGGGGGGCCTCGCTGCGGGGGCCTCAGGACACGCTTCATAGAAACTTGGCTTCCCTTGACTCTCATCCAAATTCCAGCTGCTGCCCGGCTTTCTTAGTCTCCTGGCCTCACCTTCCCCCTCCCCGCATCCTCACTTCGTGGTCTGTGCCAGGCGCCACAGGTAGACAGACGGCACCATCTCCGGCTCGCTCACCCGACCCCCAAGCCTCCCCCGCTGGCTCCCGTCCAGCCAAATGGACCTTCCAGCTGCCACTGTTCCGTTGCCAGGGCGGGTCCACGCGCCTTCCCTCGAGTCCATGCGCTCGCTTAGTCCATCAGAAGTTGAAGTGCTGCTTCCTAGGTAGCTCGCAGACCCCCCTTTGTCTGGCCAGGCTTCGTTCCTGCTTCTGGTGTCTCCAGCTGGCCTTCCTCCTGGCTGCTGGCTGCTTCCTTCCCACTCGCCTCTGCCATCTGCAGGCCAACCGTCCAGGCAGCCATCATGCCTCGTGAGTGCCTGTGACCCCTGGGCACTGGTGCAGCACTCTGCTCAGCCCGCTGTCCTATAGGCAGCCCGCTCAGGCCCGGGCCCACCTCCTGGTCCCCTGAGACACCCTCTTGCTCAGCCCAGGGTCAGCAGGTCTTCAGGAAGTGTTGAGGGCTCGGCCAGTGTGGCTCAGTGGTTCAGTGTTGACTTAGGAACCAGGAGGTCACAGTTCGATGCCCGGTCAGGGCACAGGCTTTCCCAGTAGGGAAAGTCAGGAGGCAGCCGATCCATGATGTTTCTCTCTTGTCGATGTTTCTATCTCTCTATCGCTCCCCCTTTCTCTCTCTCTCTAAAAATTAATAAAAATCTTTTTTTTTTTAAGACGTGTTGCAGGGGAGCCCAGCCCAGTGTTCGTCCCCTGCCTGGATGCCCTCCTTGCCCCTGGCAGCATTGCCAGCACCTCCTCCTCCGGGCTTGCTCCGGCCATGGCCCCGTCAGCTCTGCAGGCCCCTCCCTCTGGCACCATGGCTTCCCCTCTTCGGTTCCTTTGCCTGTCCACTCTGCCAGAGCCTTGCTCCTTGGGTTTGTGATTCATCTCTGTGCCGTGTCTGCCGTGAGGGTCCGTCAGGGCTGCTGGTCGCAGGCCTGTGTAGGCTCCACCTGCCCACTCCCGTCTGCTGACCTCGCTCCTGGCCACTCAGGAAGCTGTGAGCCTCGGTGTCGAAATAAGCATTACACAGTCCTGGCCGGTTTGCTCAGTGGATAGCATCAGCCTGGGGACTGAAGGATCTTGGGTTCAATTCCAGTAAGGCCATGTACCTCCATTGCAGGCTTGATCCTCGGTCCCAACGGGGGGTGAGGGGTGGCGTGCAGGAGGCAACCAGTCAATGTGTCTCTCTCATATCAATGCCTCTTTCTGTCTCTCCCACTCCTTTCCACTTTTTCTAAAAATCAATGGGAAAAATATCCTTGGGTGAGGATTAACAAAGAAAATAAAAAGTGAGCATAACACACATTACCAGAGTGACTGAAAAGTATGAAGCATTTGTGTGGCTCAGTGGTTGAGCTTTGTTCGACCCATGAACTGAGAGATCACTGGTTTAATTCCCAGTTGGGGCACATGCCCAGGTTGCAGGCTCGATCCCCAGTAGGGGGTGTGCAGGAGGCAGCCAGTTGAAGTTTCTCTCTGTCCCTCTCCTTTCCTCTAAAAAATCAGTAAAAACATTTTTTAAAAATATGAAGCACATAATAACAGGAGACATGTCCTGTGGAAGTAACCTATGATTTTTTAATTTCCTCTAGTTAACCAGTAAAAAAGCAGTCACTGGTGAGAACAACTTCACAGATGCCATGAGGCATGTGCTGTCGTCACGGCTGAGTGTGCCCGACTGCCCCAACTGCCACTACCGGAGAAGGTGAGTCCGCGCCCAGGGCCTGGAGCCGCGTGGCCTGGCCGTCCTGGCTGTCTCAGTCACAGTTCCTCGTCCCACCCAGGTGTGCCTGTGACGACTGCAGCCTCTCCCACATCCTCACGTGTGGCATCGTGGACCCCCCTGCCCCCGGCGACACCCACGCCCACCCGCTGCCCCTGCAGGTGGGCTCTGCTTCCGACTGTGTCTCTGAGATGCGCCCGCCCAGCGTGTCGTCCGCCAGCTCGGGGTCAGGCTCCAGCTCTCCAGTCACCATCCAGCAGCATCCCCGGCTCCTCCTCACCGACAGCGGCTCGGCCCCAGCGTTGTAAGTTGGACCTTATGATAAGGAAGGTTCCGGAGGGTTAAGCAGGGCAGCGATGAGCGGCAGACAGCTGTGCCTACAGACGTCCCCTACCACTGCCTTCCGGGGAGGCCCCTGCTTCCTTTAAGCAAAGTTGAAAGCAGGAAATCAGTAAACCCAAACCTGGACCCTGTTTCGTCACCTTAAAAGAAATGGAAAATAAATAAACACCCATCAAGAGCAAAGGTGCTAGTGAGCAGGAGCCTCCCAGGCCTGCGGTTCGTGCGGGTGTCCCTCTTGGCCAGGGCAGGGTCACGCTTACGCCAGGGATGCAGGGACTCGGGTAGTCCCGGTCATGAGCCCCGGAGGGTTCACTGTCTGTGTCCCCATTCCCTGCAGCACATCCCTGAGCCACGGGTTCCTCGCCCGGATCGTGATGCTGATAGCTCAGGAGTGGGTGTGAGTGCGGACCAGGGGGCACGCCCCGTCACCTCTGGGGCCGTGGCCCTCAGGAGCCCGAGTGCTGTCACCTGGGTGGGCTCTGTGCCTCCATGGTGAGCTCCAGGGGGTGAAGCCTTGTCAGGTGTTATCTTGTTTTTCTGAAAGTGGAAGATGCCTGAGTTTGGCAGTTGTGGACACTCTCCTAGAGCCACAGCATCACCTCTGGCTGAGGCCGTGGACGCACCGCCGTGTGTGCACCCAGGGGGTCCGTCCCGAGCCCTTTGCACGGAAGGTCACTGTGCCGGCTCTGGTCGTGCACCAGAAAGCGACCCGTGTTAAAGTGCCCACATGATGCCCTAGCCTTGAAGTCTGCTTGCATTTTTTAAGTCAGTATTCCATTTGCCCATTGCTTGGAAGTCTTGCTAAAGCTGATGTGTAATTGAGTTCATGGCTGACTTGACCAGCAGTGGTCTGCTGGTAAGAAACTTCAGTATTTTGGCACATAGTGCCTTTAAAATTTTGTTCCGCTGGCTGTGTCTAGCACTTCAGTGGCTATAAAAACAAACACTAAAGACCTAAGATGGTTCCCTGTATACCAAGCGTGTCAAATTCATGGCCCACCAGCCACGAATTTGACATGCTTGCTATACACCTTTAATTTTTTAAAATAAGTTTTTATTGATTTTTTTTTTTTTAGAGAGAGAGAAAGGAAAGGAGAGGGAGAGAGAGAAACACCAATTGGCTGACTCCTGCACACCCCCCTCTGGGGATTGAGCCCACAACTGAACATGTGTCCTGACCAGGAACCGAACCGGCGTCCCTCTGTTGCATGGGACAACGCTCAACTAACTGAGCCACACCAGCTAGGGCTGCACCTTTCATTTTCATTGAACCTGGACTGTGTCTGCTCAGCGATGGCAGGGAGGGCAGTTGTGCACCAGGTTGAATGGAAATACCGCACCCATTCATCAAATGAAGCTGTTGTGGTCTCCTTCATCTTCCCCTTTGCAGTCTTGTTTTCCGTTCGTCCTCCGAGCCCAGACGGAACCTTCCGGGTACTTGGCTCTTGTGCTGAGGTCACAGCGACCTGGGGAAGTGAGAGTGGTGCTGGGGTAGCGCCTCTGTAAGGAGAGCGTGTCGGGAGTATGTCTGTGCCCATGAACGGCTCGTGGTGACCACTCCGCTTGTCTCAGCTGCAGTGACGATGAAGATGTGGCTCCGTTGTCAGCTAAGTTTGCTGATATTTATCCGTTGAATAACTACAACGACACCGAGGTGGTGGCCAACATGAATGGAATCCACAGCGAGTTAAATGGTGGCGGGGAAAACGTGGCCCTGAAAGATGAGGTACGGCCGTGTCCCTTCATCGGAGCAGGGATGCCACAGGGTGGTGGCTAGCATGCAGTGCTCCATGTCCTGTTCGTTTTCAAAGTCCCCGCAGGGGAGCAGCACCAGTGCCAGTTCTTCAGAAGCTGATGATGAAGAGGCGGACGGCGGGAGTGGGGGCGAGCCACCCGGAGCCCCGAAGGAAGCCGTGGCCCTAGAAAATGGAAGTCCCACAAAGGAGGACAGTAAAGTGGACAGTCCCCCCCCATCTTACCCCGCTCAGCAGGTGTGATTTCATTTCTTCACATTTTTGGTTTTGCCAAAGGTCTCTTTCTCTGTGTCTGTTTTCTCTGAACCTGAGCATTATTAAATACAAAATCAGGTCATTGTGAATAACTTCTGAAAATTAGCCCTGGAGAGAATCAAGGCTGACTTCCAAAATAAAAGTCCATCCCTCATAACCTCCTTTTTAGACTTTTTCTCTTCCTTGAACCTGTAACCAGCAGTCTTGGATTTACAAGACCCAGGAGCTGTGGACAGGGTGATGGCGCGAGTTCTTGAATAGAAGCCAGGGGAGAGTTTTCTGAGAATGAAAAGGGGGGTGCTAAGTCAGCAAAGGGTGGTTTTAGAAGAGCTTTTCCCCTGGTAGATAGATACCTGTTTTTCTGTTACTCAGAGGTGAGGGTGTTTTATCAGACTGTTATTTTTTTCTTAGTCACATGGAGCTATATAATAGGTGTTCAAGCAGTTTTTATTTTTATATATTTATATATATGTATTTCTTTTTGGAGAGAGAGGAAGGAAGAGGGAGAGAAATGTGAGAAAAGTGGCCGCCTCCTGCACACCCCTACTGGGGATTGAGCCTACAACCTGGGCATGTGCCCTTGACCGGAATCGAACCAGGACCTGTCAGTCCACAGGCCGACGCTCTACCCACTGAGCCACACCAGCTGGGGCTGGGCCTAGTCTTTTATTTGTGGGATAATATAGGTCAATTTGGGGAAATTCAGTCTTAACCACAAGCAGCCTGTCAGTCTGTGAACATGCTGTATATTTCTACTTATTTAAGTCACCTTTAATTTCTCTCTGACTTTTAAAAATGTATAGTCTATGAGGCTTGAACATATTTTTAAAATTTATTCCTAAGTTCAGGTGTTTTTTAATTCTGTGGTAAATGGTATCTCCTAATTTCAATTTTCTATTGATTGTTGGCAGTTTATAGAAATACAGCTGATGTTTATATATTGGTCTTGTATTCTTCAGCTTTGCTCTGCTCATTATTCTCTGAGTTGGGTCTTGCATTTTTATCCTGTCCAGCTATCGTGTCCTTTTCTTTGGAATGCTTCATTTATATTTAACGTAACGATTGGTGATATTTACACCTGCCTTTTGCTGTTCTTTTCTGTCTCATGGTTTTTGTTCCTGTTTTCCCTTTCCTACCTTTTTTTTTTTTTTTTTTTTTGCATTAAACAAATTTCATGCACCCTTTTAATTCTGCTGGCAATTCTAGTTGTTTTAGTTTGTTCAGGGTGTGGGCAGAGCCCAGGCCAGAGGCAGCTCCTGTGGCCTCCCCCCCCCCGGCCCCACAGCTTTGCAGGAGGTCACGCTTCTCAGTGTGTTCCCCTCTGGTTGCTTTCCAGAACCTTTGTTCAGTGTGACCCCTCATTGCACCTTCGTGGAGTCCGTCCCTCGTGCGTACAGAGAGATCATGCCTTACGCATGGGAGCCAGCGAAGCCTCGCCCTGTGCTGTCCCTGTGGCGCCCTCCCCCACTCTGCCATCTTTACCAGTCCCCTCGCCTCTGCTCAGACAGCCCAGGATGCAGGCCCCCACTGGGGCATGGGGCGTGCACCCCTCTCTTTAGGTTCCTGCCGTCCTGAGCTCTTGGGTCCCTCATGTCGCTCACAAGGAGGGCCCGGGCCAAGGCGGGTGTCGGATGACTGCTCAGCAGCATGGGCTGGTGCTGCTTCCATCCTCCATCCCGGCCTCTGAGTGAGCAGGGCTTCTCTCCCCGCAGGCGGAGCCAGCTGCCAACACCTGCGAGTGCCACGTGTGCAAGCAGGAAGCTTCTGGGCTGCCACTGTCGGCGATGACGGCCGGCGCCTTTCCTTCCAGCCACCAGTTCCTGACCCCGGAGAGGCCCGCACACCCCGCCTTGCACCTGTACCCCCACATCCATGGGCACGTGCCCTTGCACACGGTCCCACACCTGCCTCGCCCTCTGATACACCCCACCTTGTACGCAGCGCCCCCCTTCACACACAGTAAGGTAAGTTGGGCAGAAAGGGCCTGACAGACGCAAGTCCAGATGGGCAGCTCATAAAGGACAGCGTCCGCTCTAGATAGGAAATGGGCGCCCAGAGCCTTAGCCCTTAACAGTTCTAGTCGGTCATGGGAGCCGTGGCTTATCCCTTCAGAACGCACCAGGACAGGAAGGTTTTCAGGTGACGGGCTACGCATGGGGCAGTCATGGCTTCCAGGGCCGGGCTCTTACTGTGATGGGAAGCATGAGCTCTTCACCCAAGCTGGGCTCTCCGCGTCTGAAACATTTGTGCTCTTAGCACAAAATTAAGGATTGTGGAAGTAACAGGCTGGAGAGAGACCCGGCGTGCCATGCGCTAGAGCATCCTGGCCAGGCGGCGTGAGGCAGCTGGAGGGCAGGCAGGTGGGCTCCCAGCACCAGTTGGGCAGGACTGCTCCGGACAGGAACGGGGATCCAGGGGAAGTTGATTTCTGTGTGCTTTTCTTCTCTGAGAACCCATGTTTATTTTGAATGTCTTAGACTCTGCAGGGAGATTTTAGGTTGGATTCATTTTTTGTGCCTTAGTAGTAGCCTTGCCTCTCTAGCTTACCTTTGTTAACTCTTACCATACCTGCTATTTTTTATTTTTATCAGTTATTGTGGTTCAAGGTTAGTTCTAATCAATCAAAAATAGAATATTTCCTAAACTCTCCTGATTGATTAATTTAAACAATGATTCTCAACTGGGGTCGAAAGGGAGGACATAGCACAGAGGGGCTTTTTAGCCTGTGCACGTTTTCTTCCCCAAAGGGTGGCACTGTGAGGGGGAAGCCCAGGAGTGGGCTTCGCTGTTTTGTGCTGGGCAAGGGCACACATCAGGGATTCAAACCGCCTCTTTAGAATGAAATGGAATCCTTTTACCATGTTCTATTACAGTAAGTACTTGGGAACTATACCCACACTTACGCTTAAATTGTGTTGGGTTGAATATTCCTCATTTTGAACTTGTAACGGTGCCTTTGTTAATAGAGCGGTTTAAATAGCATTTTCAGGTATAGACCGCAGGTCCTGGAATAACATCGTTTTGGTCAAAACATCGTTTCATTATAACCTCAATGAGATGCTATAGGAGCCTAACTGTTTATGTTGATTATCGTGGGGTAAACTGGTTTCTTACACATCGTTTTGCTTAAAGTCACAGAACTTGGCGGCGACGTTTACTGAGGCCTTGCTGTAACCAGAGCCAGGCTGTGTTCAGGGTCTGCCCAGTGTGCAGCCTCTGCCCCCCTGGGTGCATGTGTAAGGTGGGGGGGGTGTTCACCCTGTCTTACCGGAAGAGAGTTCTGTTTCCTGTGTTCTGAGAGAAGGTATAGAATATTCTCTTATAAACTCTCTTGTTGGCAGAAGCTGTGCCAGAGTTAGTTCCTGAAAATCTTCAAGTCAAGTTGTGAGATTGATTATTCCCAAAGGGGATTGGGACACCAGTTAAACACTCCACTGTCTTCCCCAGGCTTTTGGGCTTTTAAAAAATTATTGATTTCAGAAAGGAAGGGAGAGAGAGATAGAAACATCATTGATGAGAGAGAATCATTGATTGGCTGCCTCCTGCATGCCCCACACTGGGGATCGAGCCCGCAACCTAGGAATTGAACTGTGGCCTCCTGGTTCATAGGTCAATGCTCAGTCACTGAGCCACGCTAGCCAGGCCTGTGGGCTTTTCTCAGATGTCCAGGCAGTCTACAGAGGGATAAGGAAGGAAATAACAACTGGGGAGCTTATCTGTGTCTTTGATACCTGGTGGACTTTACTCCGGCCGATGGCTGTAGAAGACTCACGGTCATAAAGGCGAATCGGAGGACAGGCTGTGGAGCTCTATTTCAGCCACTGTGCTGTTGACGTCAATATTGTTTACTGATGCATTGAAAGTACATTAGCTGGATGTCTTCTTTATTTGGAAAAATAAGGTGCATTTGGCAAAATATTTTCTTTTTACCTGCTATAAAAATGTTTTTCTCTAAACAAGCTTGCCTCGTCTCCCACCAGGTCTTACAGAGTAAGTTTGTATTATTTGAGTTGGGTTCACTTAGTTGAATGCTGTGGATGCATCTGTACTTGAATGCACAAGGTGTTCACAGCCCCATAAGAGGTGGTAGAAGTTCCTGGAGAGAGCAGACAGGCTGCCTTAGAAGGGTATACACTTCAGTGCCGTCGGAGCAGGTCTCAGAGGCCAGGGTGCACAGTGTGATGCCCGATTGTAGCTGGGAGGGGGCAGTGGGTGCTGAGTGTGGAGGGCAGGCCTGCACTCAGGCACTTCTGACCTGCTTCCCTTTCTGCCTTGTCAGGGCCTTCAGGAATTTCTGCTCTGGAAATGGAAGTTGTCACTTTTAAGACTTGATATCATTGTCGTAGTGATTCATACTTTGGCCATTGTGGGTGAATCTTTAGTAAGTAAAATGTTTGGGATGATTATTATGAAAATTTTACTTTCTTAAAATTAGGAAAACTTGAAGACGATTTCTATTTTCTGATGTCTTCATACCAATGATGCATTTGACTTATATGTGAGGTGTGAGTTATTTGAAAGTTAAAGGTAGTTGCAGGAGAAAATACAGTAACGAAATGCTAGAAAAGAAATCAAAACGGCGACAGGGTAGTTCCAAATACTGGGGATTCCCAGCGACCTTTCCGTATTGGTTCCTCCTTCACTTCTGTTGTCCTCTGAGAACAGGCACTGTCTGTGTCAGTTATTTCCAATGTGTGAGGGTGTGCTTTAGGGTCCAGAGTGGGGTCGAACTTGGTGAAAGTTCCATGTGAGCTTGAGGAGCATGTGCGACCTGCTGCTGTTGGATGGCAGTTATGTGGTCTGTGCATGTCAGTTCCGTGCTGTGAGTTAGGGGTGCCGCTGGTTCAGCTCTGTCCCCGCTGAGCCCTGTCTGCTGGCTCTGTCCCTCTGACAGAGGCGGGCTGACGTCTCCAGCCATCACCACGGGGTCTTCTGTCTCTTTGTGGTTGTCTCCGTTTCTGTCTCCGTGCTGTGACGCTGTGTGGCCAGGTGCTTGCATGTTGAGGGTTGTTGCACATGCTTGGGGGATGGACCTGTTATCAGTAGGGAATATCCTGACATTTCCCTGCTCTACAGTCCGGTGTGTCAAGTGAATAGAGCTGCTCCCGCTTCTGCTTCGTGTTAGTACAGGACATGTCCGTCCCTTTCTTTTAGCTGAAAGGGGTCTGTGAACTCAGTGTGTTTCTTATGTATCTGATCATCTCGTCATTTCATTGGTATATTTAAACCATTTAAAGTGATTTTTAAAAAATATATATCTATTTTCAAAGTTTTTTTAAAATTGATTCTTAAAATGCCCAACCAGCTGAGCCACACTGGGCAGGGCTCAGTGTGTTTGGATTAAGAGCAGTCATGTTTGTGCAGTTTTTTTAATATTAATGCATGTGCTGCTGAAGCGAGCACAGTAATGCTCTCTACTTGGTGCCAGATGCTTCTTTTTCTGCCTTTTCTACTTCTGGCTGAGAATTTTCTGATTCCATTTAATCTCTTAGTATATCAATTATCCTTATTTTGAACATTTTTAACAGTTGTATTAGAAGGTACATTTTAACTAATCTAAGTCTCCTTCAAATAACACTGTTCTGCTTCATGTGTAGTGTAGGTACCTTTTAACAGATTATTCCCAACCCCGCCCTCCCATCCCTTGCAATGCACTGTCATTATTTTCATTTATCCATAATCACCAATAGTACCTTGTTGCTATTATTACTTTAAACAAAATTGTATTTTAGTTAATTAATAAGAAATACAAGAGATTTTATTTTACTTTTTATTTATTCCTTCTCCTTTGCTCTCCCTTCTTTATGTAGATCTAAGTTTCTGACCTATATTATTTTATTTCTGTCTGAAGAAAATCTTTTAACATTTCTTGCAGGGCATGTCTGCTGGCAATGAGTTCCCTCAGGTTTTGTTTGTCTGAGGAAGTCTTTATTTCTCCTTCACTTTTGAAGGATAATTTCGCTGGATACCGAATTCTAGGTTGGTGGTTTTTTTTTTTCTTTCAACATTTTAAACATATTTGACTTCACTCTTTACTTGCTCAGTGGTTTCTGATGAGATGTTCTCTGTAATTCTTTTCCTTGTTTTATAAGCACATGGGCTCCTTCTCTCCCCTGGCCCCAGACTGCTTCCAAGATTTTCCTTTCATCTTTGGTTTTCTGCAGTTTGTATATGATGTGCCAAGGTGTACATTTTGGGGTATTTGTTCTATTTAGTATTCTCTGAGCTTCCTGGATCTTTGGTTTCGTGTCTGTCATTAATTTTGGAAAAGTCTCAGTATTACAGCTTTAAATATTTCTTCTGTTCCCCCCCCCCCCCCCCCCCCGGTGTTTCAGTTACTGTATGTTGCATCTTTTGAAATTGTCCCACATTCTTGGATGTTTGTTCTGTTTTTGTTTTTTGTGGTTTTGTTTTTTTGGGTTTTTTGGTGATGGTGGTAAGGTGGTTTTTTAAAAAATATATTTTATTGATTTTTTTTACAGAGAGGAAGGGAGAGGGATAGAGAGTTAGAAACATCGATGAGAGAGAAACATCGATCAGCTGCCTCCTGCACACCCACTACTGGGGATGTGCCCGCAACCAAGGTACATGCCCTTGACCAGAATCGAACCTGGGACCCTTGAGTCTGCAGGCTGATGCTCTATCCACTGAGCCAAACCGGTTAGGGCAAGGTGGTGAGTTTTTATTCTTGTTTCTCCTTTTCCTTGTATTATAAACACATTTGAGAAGTTTCTATTGACATATCTTGAAGCTCACTGATTCTTTCCTTGGTTGTGTCCATTCTACTGATCAGCTAGCTCATCAAAAGCAGAATTTGTTTCTCTTACAGTGTTTTTTACTTCTAGCATTTCTTTTTTATTATTTCTTAGAGTTAGAGTTTCCATCTCTTCACATTACTCATTTGTTCTTGCATATTGTCTACTTTTTCCATTCAGAGCCTTAGCATAATAATCATTTTCAATTTCCTGCCTGGTAATTTTCAACCATTTTATCGTTTTATTCTCTCTCTATCCTTCTGTCATGTCTCTCTGAACCTCTGATGAATCCTTCTAGTTCTGTTCTTCACTCTGAAGCTCGCCTTCCTATTTCTCGTCTCCTTGTTTCTCAGTCCGTTCTGAGAACCTTTTTGGATCAGTCTCCAAGTTAAGTGATTCTGTTACTGTGTATAACTTAAATTTTGAGTTTTTAATTCCAAGTCTAATTCTTATTTCTAAGCTTCAGTATTTATTTTTCAAATATGTTAGCAACTTTTCATATACTCCTGTTCCTCGATCATGTTCTTGCTTCTCTTGAAGCCTTTACATGTCATTCTCTTTGAACGAAGCCTTGAGGCTGTAGACCTCTGTTGCTTCTGCTGCTGCGTGGCTCCGTACACGTGTAGTAACTGTGATTACGAGCTCCTGTTCCATGCATCCTCCTCTGAGAAACCCCCCAGCCCCACGTAGGGTGCTTCCACAGACGTAGGCTTCCGTGCGCTGGCATCAGGTACCCCAGGGGCACTGACCCCCAGGCCCTCCTGCTCCCCTGCCTGTGGGACCATGGATCCGTCCCCGCCACTTTGATCTGGTGTGTGAGCCCTTGGGGCAGCCCTCTTTCTCCCCACCTCCACCTGGCCCTGTTTTTTCTTGTCATGTTATCATTTATTTGTGAAAGGCTTTCCCTGCTTTCTCTGTGGCTCAGCACTTGTTACAAAAGTGTTTCATGCCATTTAATCCCCCTTAGTGGACAGAGCCCCAGCAGAGGGGAACTGCGCATGAACTTCCGGAGAAGCGCACGTGTGAGCTGGGGGGCAGTTCACCCCGGGCTTGCTGCCTGCCCCAGGAGCAGTGGGTCCCGGCTGCAGGGCCAGACTCTGGACTGGCCTCTGAGGCTCCCAACTTGAATCCCGTCCTTTCGGTCTGGAAAACATGGGAAACACTCCCCGTGCGAGCAGAGGGTCTAGGCATGGAGGGGAGAGGGGTCCTGAATTCTGTGTGGGACCAAGGACTCTGTGGAGGTGGTCTCCAGACTGCCCTCAGGGACTGCGATGCACCGAGGGGAGTTGCTGAAGTGGCCGCTCCTGTCTGTCACCTCCCTTCGGAGCCACTCAGCACACCCACTGCAGAGGGTTCGGTCAAGCTCATGCAGTGCAGGTGGGAATTTGAGGGAGAGGAAAGCTCGTTAGCAGCTCGGGGCAGATGGGCTGCACTCGGGGCCCTGTGGGGGCCTGTGTCTGCATTGATCTCAGAGGCCGTGCTCAGTTCTTCTGGCCCAAGAACTGGCAGCACCGAGCAGAGCAGTGCCCTCGCCTCTATCCTGCCTCTGCAGGAGTGGGGGGAGCTCAGGAGGAAGAAGCACACGTGGCGTCCTGCCTCTGTGGTCTCCCTCTGAAGCTCGGTGTGGGCAGTCCCTCCCGTGCCTGTGTCCGTGGCTCGCCATCTTCTGCCCCTGCCCACGTGGCTCTGGGGCTGCCTGGTCGTGTGCGTGGACTCAGCGGGCTTAGTGAAGGCCACTGGTTGGCTGGTACGTGCGTGCCTTGGAGCTTGCATTTAAAGCAAAAGGGTTGTATTCTTGTGAACCACTTTAGTCTCAAGGGTGGAGAGCAGTTCAGCACTGGTGTTCGTGAAGCAGCGTGGAGCCCTGGAGGGATCGGTGTCTGGGCAGTAGCGCTCCCACGGTGAGGGACTTCTTTTATGCTTCGATCACGGGTGTGCTGCCCGTGGTGCGGCTGAGATCCATGAGCCTGGCAGGCGCCTGTCTTTCTGAAGAAAGCCACAGATGTCGAGGTTGGTCAGTGTCTCATGCGAAAGCATGCGTGCAGACACAGCCTGTCCTGCGCCCTCGCTCCCTGTGGAGGAATAGCTGGGTCTCCTGTTCTGAGTGGATTTGCTTAGCAGAGGGTGTGAAACGAATGAAGAGCCATTAGCGTACGTTTCCACCTCCCGTCTCACAGCCGGGCCCGACCTCTCCAGGCTGGACTCCGCCCAGCACTCTTACATCCCACTTGTGGCAGGCCCGTGCTTCCCACTCGGAGCACAGACCAGTGTGCCTGGTCCCCGTGGTCAGGAACCTCAGAGGCTCAAGAGAAGACAGAAACATGCTCAGACCTGAAAATCCAGTGCTCTGATCTACCTTAGAAATCGTAGGTGCCAAGTAGGAAAGTATTCGTGAAGAGAGGACACTAACTGTGAGCCTAGGGGTGGGTTTTGCAGAGGAGGTGATGCTGGGGTAGGGTTTTGAAGGGTAAGAAGAGCTCTCTGGACCCATGTGGTTGTAGGTCCAGGTTGTCAGCCAGGCTTTCTCCAAGTGAAACCAGGCATCGCGCCGTGCCTGGGGGGCTGCGTGGGAAGTACTTGAGAAGAAGCTGGGGAGCCCTGCAGGTGTTTCTGTTGTGCCGAGGTCACCAGCTGGGCTGGCTGGGAGGAGCCGCTGGTTCCACCTGCTGGGCATTTCTGCCCCTTAGCAGAGTGTTTTCAAGACTCAGAACCTGCCAGTCAGTGACTTCCCATCAGCCCTCAGCACAGCAGCTCGCGGTGTGCCTCTCCTCTGCAGACGTCCGGTCTTGTTCTCTCTGCCCGTGGGTCCCCTGCAGAGCGGCCAGCTCAGGCTCCCACCGTGACCCTGCGTGGCCAATGCAAACCTGTTTCTTCCTACTTTCAAGTCTCAAATCTCATTCCAGTTCACCCTGCATCTTTCCTCCCTGTGCCCGGTCAAGGTCGGGAGGGGCACAAAACCGCCCACATGGAGTGACGCCTGGGAGGGCAGCAGAGCCTGCGTGGGGTGGGTCTGTGTGTGGGGACCAGTCTTAGGGAGGGTGATGGGCCACACACATAGCACCAAATGGTTACCGTGGCCAGGCAGTGTGCTGAACACTTGACAGACACTGTCTGATTCCTCCCTCCCACAGCCCCTGGAGGTAGGTATTTCCATTTTACTTAGGAGAAAACGAAAGCACAGAAAGGTGCAGTAATTTGCCTAAGGTCACACAGCTAGTGAAAGGGAGAGCTGACATCTGAACCCTTGAGACCGCAGCCTGAGGCTGAGAATGGGACCAGAGTTCACACCCAGCTGCGTCCCTGACACCTGCCAGGAAGGAGCCAGACGTCCAGTCACAGCTGTTGTCCCGGCGACACCAGGCTTCCTTCTGTCGTCCTCATCTTTGTGGCTGTCACTCACCATTTCTCATCCTTTCCTCTTGTGGCTCACTCCCCCACCTGCCCAGATTGGTCTTTCTCATCACCCGACCAGGTCATCGCCCCTGCTGCTTACCACCCTCTGTAGCTCCCTAGTCCCCTCAGCACAAAAGTCACACAAAGTTATCTCATTTGGCCCCTGTGGCCTGCCCCCTTCCTCTCACCCTAGCTAGGCTCCAGGGTTCTGCCAAACCATCACCTGCTCTTGGGAATCCTTCCAAACCCAGCTGCCCCGCTCTAGAGTGTACAGCACTCTGCTCAGTTGTGTGTCCCAGAGGGTGGGGCTCCCAGGCGTGGTCCCCAAGGGCAGGCTGTAGCTTCAGGGGGCGGTCCTGGGCCCAGGGCTGCTGGGGAAAGCCGAGGGCCCGGCCTTGGCCAGGAACCGGGTGGCCCGCTCCCTCGTGAAGCTTACAGAATTGGAGGGAAGGCCGACATTGAACCACTGGGCACAAGTAAGTCTTGAATTACAAGTGCGATGAGTGCTAAGAGGGAAAAAGGTGGCTTTGTTGTGTTTAATGGAAGGCCCATGGCTTGGTCTCGGTGTTAGGTGGTGAGGCCAAAGTCAGTGATGGCTTCTCTGAGGAAGTGACAGGCCTGAAGGGTGACTGTCATTCAGTGAGACCGAGAGCAGAGGATGTTCTAGAACATGGACACGGCATGAGTGAAGATCGGGGTCAGGGAGGAGCTGGGGGTTGGAGGACCAAGGGAAGGGCAGTGTGTCCAGGGGCTGGGTGAGCAGGAAGGACAGCGGGACCACAGTTACCACTGTGACTGCATCAGAAACGCAGTGGGACGTGCTGGCATCGGAAGCGGGAGTCACCGCTCTCTTTCCACTCAGAAGCCCCTCCTGCAGGTGGGGAGGCTGTTGAGGGAGGGGAGGGACGGCCGGAGGGCGCCTGCTCCCTCCCTGGGATGGGGCTGCCCAAACGAGTAGTTCTTCAAAGTGCACGCCCTTGGCCCACGTGAGAGCACCGTGTAAGAGTTTGCCATGTTTTTTTCGGTGATTCCAGAGTTTCCTTTTTAGCAGTAATAATGACAGTGTCAGAGGGGGGTAGCCCGAGGAGCAGGTCTTAGGCCAATGACCACGCTGACCGTGTGGCGAGGGGAGTGTTAGAAGCTCCTGAGCTGTCTCAGGGCTGCTTCATGTATTTCTTGAGGCATCGGTTGCTTTCACCTCCCACCTGGTTTCAGTGTGACCTGTGGTGTAGACGCGCCACCAGCCCTGTAAGACGTGTTCGCCAAGCGCGTCCCCCAAGGCTTCCAGAAGTGACTCGTCTGTCTGTAGCCTCACGGCCTGGGTGAGCAGATATGAATGTTGATATGTGATTAGAACTTTTTTCTTGTAGGCTTTACCGCCAGCACCTGTTCAGAATCACACAAATAAGCATCAGGTATTCAATGCATCTCTTCAAGACCATATTTACCCAAGCTGTTTTGGGACTGCTCCAGAGTGGAATAGTTCTAAGTTTATAAGTCTGTGGGGATCAGAAGTGATGAATGATAAGAACTGGAGTCCTGGCACTTTCCTGCCAGATACAATTTCTGGTAAGGAACCTGTTCAAACTTTATTCAAGTTTTCCAATGACCCGAGCTGAGTGGATGGCCATCTGGCTGTGTTCTCCCCTGGAAGCCCCAGAGGGCGGGCCCTCGTGCAGCCGTGCCCAGGCTGCTGCTCCCTGGCCTCTGCCTTCCATGGGCGGCCCTGGGCCCGCCATGCTGCCCCCTCCCTCCACATCTGTCACAGCCACGGCCGTAGCAGGGGCCCAGCTGACGCCCAGCTCTGCTGCCGAGTGCTGCTGAGGGTCTTGTCTCCAGGGTTCGGGTTCGGCCACTGGTTCTCGAGCAGGGGTGGTAACCAGACATGGCCCAGTGCACAGGGTGGGGCAGCAGTGCCACAGCCGACTCAGGTGTTGTCACTTACCTTCCTTTTCTCTGTTTCTGTACTGACCCTTAATGGGACTTGTCCCTCTAACAACTCCGCCCTCCCAGCCGCTGAGGCGCAGCTGTCACTTGAGAGCCGGGCGCCTAAGGGGCTGCTACCTACCCCTCATCTCTGTCTTCATGTGGTTAGAGCCCCTGGCAGCCCCACGCCCAGCCCCTGCATGTGTTCAGAACAGCAAGCTAGACTGGACATCTGTCTGGTCTGTGCCTAGAAAGGGTGTCTAGCTGTGTGACCTTGGGCAAGTTGCTTAGCCTCTCTGAGCCTCAGATTCTTCATCTTTAGGATGGGAATAATACTCCCAAGCTCAGAAGGCAGTTCTAAGACAGAAAAGAAAACGACTTGTGGGAAGCACCGAGCACAGGTCTTGCCACAGCAGGTGCTCAGTGAGTTTTCTTTTTGCGCAAACGCTAGCGCACTCAGTCGTCCCAGGAGAAGGCTCACTGCAGAACAGCCCCAGCAGGAAGAGTGTAACCTGCGAGTGCTCTTTAATTGTAGCTAAATGTCGTTTCTTTAGAAGCCTTAATTTTCCCTTTTGTCTCTAAAGGGAGTGAAATATTAGGGCCAACATTCTCAGAAACAAGACCCGACACCCTCCCACCACCGCCGAGCAGTGGCTCGCCCACAGGTCTGGACTGTAAAGAGAAAAGAAACGCTGCAAGAAAGAAATGCCTGTACAGCTTCCAAGACGCTTTCATGGAAGCGAACAAGGTGGTGATGGCCACCTCCTCAGCCACCTCCTCCGTGTCCTGCACGGCCACCACGGTGCAGTCAAGCAACAGCCAGTTCAAAGTGTCGTCCAAGAGGCCTCCTTCCTTAGGTAAGGTCTCCTGCTGGCGGGGCCCTAGGCGGCCCGGCGTTCGCTGCATCTCGGGGATCGCCCTTAGCTGGCCTGGCCGGAGGCTCGGCGTCATTAGCTGTGTTCACGCCCAAGAGAATCCTACTGTCACATGTCCTCTGGGGCTTGGCCACATGGGTCCTGCCTTTCATCTCTGTACCTGCTGTTGTGAGCACAGACATCTAAAAGCAGAACCTCATGGACAGTGTGCCTGTCGGCATCGCTGGTGTGCAGGTGGTGTGCTGTCACACTCGGCTCCGAGCCCACAGGAGAGCAGGAAGCAGGGAAGCCATCAGACGGGCAGGTGGCGGGGCCCAGGAGTTAGCACAGAGGCCCACGCTGGCCAGGGCGCCGTGTGCGTAGGGCAGAGCGTCGGGGCAGCTCCCAGCACATGGGGGAAGGGAGGAGTCCTGGTGCTCAGGAGGGACTGGTGGGGCGGCTGCTGCCTGGGCAGGAGAAGGTCATGGTCGCTGTGTGAGCAAGAGCGAGGGAAGGGGAAGCCGGGTGGCACCTCGGTGGTGAGAACCTTGGGTGTTCTCACAGCTCACAAGGGGGAGCAGGGTGCCCTGCCTGTAGGTGGCCTCACCACCACGGAGCAGCCTCAGGTGCTCCTGGGCGGCAGGGAGGAGGCCCAGCATGGCCTTGGCGGGACGCGGGCCCAGGATGTCTGCCCAGTCTGACCTGGGACCCCTGCAGCTGGTGGCGGCTGCTCTGCTCAGAGGGGTGCCAGGGCGAGTTTGAGTGGGCGGGGCAGCTCGGAAGGACGTGCAGGAAAGGGCTGTGCGGGGGGGGGGGGGGGGGGGGGGTGAGGGGATGTTCAGGACCGAGAGCGTCCTTCGTGGCGGGTGTCTGGTGCGAGGTGCTGTGTGGTCACAGTGACGTGTGCATCCTTTCCAGGGCCTGTGCCAAACAAAGTAAGTAGGGGCATGTGTGTCAGAAACGAAGGAAAAAGGACAAAATGGTAACTGGTCATGCATTCAGGTGAAGGGTATTGGGTGTTTTTTTGACTGTTTCCTTCAACTTTTCTATAGATTTGAACATAATTAGACAAAAAAAATGGGTAGAAAGTCCTAAGAGGATTAGGACTGTGTGTCTGACCTGAGCTGTTGGCACGACTCCATGTCTGACGCAGGTGAGGTCTTCCACGGCATCAGCAAGGAGGAGCACAGGCACGCGGTGCCCGCCGCCCCGAGGAACAGCCCGACCGGCCTGGCGCCGCTCCCCACGCTCGCCCCTGCCCCCCTCGCACCAGCCTCCACGCCTCACCTGGCAAACCTTGCAGCCCCCGCCTTCCCCAAAAGTGCCGCCACCTCTCCTGGGTTTGTGGACACGCGCAAGAGCTTCTGTCCTGCCTCGGTCGCCCCCACGGCCCCCAGCACAGACGGTCCCATCAGCGCGCCTCCAAGCGTCTGCAGGTGAGCCCCGTCCTGGCGGTAGAGGCCAGGACACGTTGGAGACTGGGTGCTGTGCTCCTGACACCGGAAGAGCTGTGGGAGCTCTGCCCCTGGTGCCGGCGGTGGCTGACCCGTGCCTTGCGGCGGGAGGGCGGACGCCCGCAGAGGCCGGGTGGGGAGGCTGGTGCAGAGCAGGGCTGACTGGGTGGGTGCACAGACCCCCCTCCCCCCGACCCATCAGGGAACGCGCCTTGGGTGTCTTTTAAGTTGTACTTGTTACACGCTGAGCAAAGTACAACACAGCAAACTCTTGACAGTTTTGTTTTGTTTTAAATATGTTTTTATTGATTTCAGAGAGAGAGGAAGGGATAGGGCGAGGGAGAGACATCTGTCGGTTGCCTCCCGTATTCACATCCTGACCGGGAACCAAATCCCCCTCACCTGGTGCACCAGACGACGTTCCGCCAACCAAGCCGCACTGGCCAGGGCTGGACAGTTTATTTTGTTGTTTTGTTTTTTGTTGTTTTTCTTAAGGTGCCTGTGTGCATGTAAGTCATGAGTTTATTATTTTTTAATTCTCACCCGAAGACATGTTTTCATTCATTTTAGAGAGGAAGAGAGAGGGGTAAAGAGAGAGAAACATCCATGTGAGAGTGAAACATCCATTGGTTTCCTCCCGCACGTGCCTCAAGCTGGGACCAAACCTGCCACCTGTGCACGTGCCCCAACCAGAATCAAACCCTCCACCTTTCCGTGTACGGACAGCGCCCCAGCCCGCTGAGCCGCACGGGCCAGGGCTGCGCTGTTTTTATGTGAAGACAGCTTTTGTTACCTTTGAACTTGCCTGTTGAAAGCCACCTCCCACCCCCCAGAATAAAGCGGTGGTGGGGACAGTAGAGAGACTGTGTATGACCACCCGCCTCACGCACCGCCTTGCCCCGCTGCCGCCCAGCCCCCCAGCTGTGGCCCCCATTCCGTGTGGACCCGGGTCTGGTGGTGAGGGGCAGAGCCTCTAGGGGTGGCTGCTTGCTGACTGGCCTGTGTGCGGTTTCGCAGTGACCCGGACTGCGAAGGGCACCGCTGCGAGAATGGCGTCTACGACCCACAGCAGGACGATGGGGACGAGAGCGCAGACGAGGACAGCTGCTCCGAGCACAGCTCCAGCACCTCCACCTCCACCAACCAGAAGGAGGGCAAGTACTGTGACTGCTGCTACTGTGAATTCTTCGGGCACGGCGGGGTGAGTGCGTGCTGCCCGGGACAGGGACAGCAGCTGTCAGTGCCGCGCGGGTGTCAGTATGTGACAGTCACAGCACACACAGGCTGCGAGGCCTGGTGGAATTCAGGGGACTTACTTGCAACATAGTTCAAACCAAGGTCTGGTCTCACACGGCAATTCCACTTCTAGGTTGTCCTTATCCTAAAGCAGTGGTTCTCAACCTTCTGGCCCTTTAAATACAGTTCCTCATGTTGGGACCCAACCATAACATTATGTTCGTTGCTACTTCATCACTGTCATGTTGCTACTGCTATGAATCGTCATGTAAATATCTGATAGGCAGGATGGTCTTGGGCGACCCCTGTGAAAGGGTCGTTCGACCGCCAAAGGGGTCGCGACCCCCAGGTTGAGAACCGCTGTGACCTAAAGGTATAATGAAAACATTTGCCCAAAGATTTAGCTATAAGGCTTTCATCACGGCATTTTTGCCCGTTGGTGAGTTTTACAATAGATGATTGGATAGGGGTCGACAGAGTGCCCAGCTGTGGGCAGCCAGGGTGTCCGGTCTGTCACCCGCCTCATGGGGACACGTGTACACGGTTGTCTTCCCTGTTTGAACACAAAGGGTATTGGCACAGGTGGACTTGGACAAGGACGCGCCAGCCCCCCAGCGGGTGGCCGCGGGGCAAGTGGTTGTTCTGTTAGCTCCGCCTCGCCTCCTCGGCGGTGTGCTTGGGGCTGGTCAGAAATCTTGGCCGTGGGGTGGAGGGCAGTTCTTTTTCCTTTAGGCTCTGAGCAAGGAGCCTGCAGTGGGTACCGAGGTACAAGGGTGGACATGGGCACGACAGGAAAGATGACCACACTGTTCACATAGAAGGAGATGATCAGTATGTGTAATTAGCTGTTTCTGATTTAAAAGTAGTTACTTTTATACATAGCTGCATATAATTTACCAGATCTTTTATGAATATATAGATTTTCTTTTTTCCGGCCATTTGTTTCTCTTATTTCCTTATTTTTTTATGTATTACTGGGTAATAACAAAAACTTTAATTTTAGAAATAGTCTGAAGTTTCTCTTCCAAGTCATTGAAACTTGAAGTTTAATCTAGTCACGTTTTCATGTATTGTCTTAGCCTCCAGCCGCACCCACAAGTAGGAATTACGCAGAGATGAGGGAGAAGCTGCGCTTGCGGCTGACCAAGCGGAAGGAAGAGCAGCCGAAGAAGGCGGACCAGCTGTCGGAGCGGGAGAGCATGGTGGACCACCGCCGGGTGGAGGACCTGCTGCAGTTCATCAACAGCTCCGAGCCCAAGCCCGTGAGCAGCACGCGCGCCGCCAAGCGGGCGAGGCACAAGCAGAGAAAGGTAGCCTGCGCCCGCGCCAGGGCGGCGGGGACTGTGACTGCGGGGCCTGGAGCCACTGCACTGGCCATAGCATGGCTTCCACAGCCCCTGCCTGTCTCTGGCCTAAGCTGGAGGCTGTGGGGAGCCCCACGCTGTGTCTAGGACGCATCGCCCCTTTGTGTTGTGGCTTTGCTAGTGGACCCAAACCAGCCTCAGGCCCTCGTGCTGGCCGGCCGGCGGGGTGCAGACCCTCTGCCTCTGTGCCAGGGAAGCAGAGGAAGTGGGGTGGCGTGGGCTTTTGACTGGCTGAACGAGTGACTCTGATAGGAGGCGGGGACAGAGGCTGTCCGCATGGAAGAGGCCGGGCCCGTGGCGTTGATGTGCAGGTGGCGGAGGAGGTGATGCCGTGTGGGCAGCCTTGGACAGTGCCCACCTCACCTCATGGCTGGGATGTGTCAGAGGCAGGTCCACCCCATGGTGGGTGTGACTGGACTTGACCTGAGGTCCAGCAAGTGAGTGGGGCCCTCAGGGACTGTGTGCCAGTCACTGCAAGGTGTCCTGTCCTTCGTTGCACGCCTCCTCAGGAACCCACCCCAGTTCTCCTGGAGGGCTCCCCACGGAGCCCCGGGCAGCAGGCCCAGCCGTCTCCCTCATGCAGCCACCTCGAGGCGTCAGGTCCAGGGCCAGCCCTCAGCAGGCAGATCAGGGCCGAGGCACGTGGCAGCTTGCAGGGGTCTGACCGCAAGAAGGGCTGCCCTGGGAGCAGGTGAGGTCGCCGTGAGGTCAGGCAGAGGCCGAGGAGGGCCCGCAGGTCCGCTGGGCTCCGCATCAGCATGTGGCTCTCGGGCCTGTGCTTGTCCTGCTGAGAGGCAGACCCACCAAACCTGCAGGGCTCGCCAGGGACTTGGGGGAGACCTGCCCCAGGAGACCTGGTCTGCAGAGCCCACAGGAATGGGGAGAGCGAGGTGTCGCCATCGGAAGTACCCTGCCTCTCCGAGGGGAGGGGTCCAGAGCCCTGGGGACGTCCTGGGCAGGCACTCAAATCCTTGGGGTTGGCTCTACGCTTGTCAGGGGGCTCCCACCCTGGTCTCCTGTCCTCTATCCTTGCGGACAGTCTGAATCCAGACTTGATGCCACAGGCCCACCGTGGTCCCCTCAGCACCCACTCACCCTGTGCTCTCCTGAGCACCCTGTTGGGCAGGTGACCCACCCACAGGTTGCTTTGTGTCTCCCTCCTAGTCAGCTGTTGAAGTGAAGGTGGCACCCGGCGGGCTGTGGGTTCACTGTAGCTTCGTCCTGGGGAGTTCTCAGACCTGCGCCAGGAGGCACCTGCCAGCCGACACCAGGCCACCTGCAGGGCAGCTGGGGCTTCTCCTGTGAAATTTGCTTCAGTTGTGAAGCTAGCTTTTTAAAACCTATCATTTTATTTTTAACTTAATTTTATATTAAATGTTTTCAAAAAGATAACTCAGTCTTAAATGAACGCCTACTGAAATGTAGGAACTAGCTTCAGCTGGGAGGGCTCCACTTCCCATGCACTTTTTTTTTTTTAAATATATTTTATTGCTTTTTTACAGAGAAGAAGGGAGAGGGATAGAGAGTTAGAAACATTGATGAGAGAGATCGATCAGCTGCCTCCTGCACGCCCCCCACTGGGGATGTGCCCGCAACCAAGGTACATGCCGTTGACCGGAACCGAACCCGGGACCCTGCAGTCCACAGGCCGATGCTCTGTCCACTGAGCCAAACCGGTTCAGCCCATGCACTTTTTTTTTGCCGGAGCATCCGACAGGCGCCCCCTTTGGAGCGTTTCCATTTGTGCTGCTAGAACAGGCGTCCCTATGGAGGGAGTCTTCACTCGATGAAAAGGTGCGTCCCGCCGTAGGATAAGCAGGAGGAACCTGCTGTCAGCAATGCCCTGTGGCGTGGAGAAACCATTGCTCCTGGCACACTAGTGACGGCAGCTCGGGAGTGCCGGCCGCGTGCCAGGCTGGGAGGGGAGTTTGTTTCCTAGGGCACCTGTTTGCATGTCCTGTTGATGCACAGAAATGCCTCAGCTTTCACCTGGGCAGGTGCGTGCTGGGCACAGTCATGTGCCGTTGGCTGTCACCTCCATGTGCAGCGGGCGTGGGGGCAGGGCAGGCAGCAGCTTCCACCTGGTTTTTTGTGTCTATGAGGGATTAACTACCACCTTCCCCAAATAAAGTAAGTCTATATGTGAAATAACTCGGGGTAGGTATCCTATCTAATAAAGAGTGCTAATTGACCCTCACGCCATCACAAAGATGGCAGCGCCCACAGCCAGTAAGGAGGGAATATGCTAATTGACTGCCACACCCTCAAGGATGGTGGCTGCCCAGCTGCCCAGGGCTGCCCAAGGCTCAGGTAACCAGGGCCGGCTGAGGCTTGCACTGCCAGCAGTGGCAGCAGCAGAGGTGTGATGGGGGCATCACCTTCCCCTGATCGCCAGGTCGCCTCCTGCCCCTGAGGGCTCCCAGACGGTGAGAGGGGGCAGGCGGGCTGAGGTACACCCCCCACCCCTGCATGAATTTCATGCACCGGGCCTCTAGTGTTTTAATAAGAGCTTTTGGCTTATTATAGCCCTTTTGGTTTATATTCTTTTTTTAAACTTTTTTAAAAATATGTTTTATTGATTTTTTTACAGAGAGGGATAGAGAGTTAGAAATATTGATCAGTTGCCTCCTGCACACCCCCTACTGGGGATGCACCCGCAACCAAGGTACATGCCCTTGACCGGAATCAAACCTGGGACCCTTCAGTCCCTAGGCCGATGTTGTATCCACTGAGCCAAACAGGTTAGGGCTTTTTTTAACTTTTTAAAAAATGTCTTTATTGATTTTAGAGAGAGAGGGAGGGAGAGAAAGATAGAAACATCGACGAGAGAGAAACATTGATTGGCTGCCTCCTGCACGCCTCCTACTGGGGACTAAACCCGCAACTTGGGCATGTGCCCTGACTGGGAATCAGACCGGTGGCCTCTTGGTACATGGGACAATGATCAACCACTGAGCCACGCTGACCAGGCAGGGTTTCTATTCTTACTATATGATTCATTTTTTAATTCTTATTTTTCCATATGTGTTAATTTTTCAATTGCTTACTGATATCTCAAACAGCCTTCTCTTTTCACCTGGCAGCTGGAGGAGAAGGCGCGCCTGGAGGCGGAGGCCAGGGCCCGGGAGCACGAGCATGTCCGCGAGGAGCAGAGGCAGCAGGAGCAGGAGGAGGAGCGGCTCACGGCGGAGCTGCAGCGGCTGCAGGAGCTCCAGAAGCTGCGCGCCGTGAAGAAGAAGAAGAAGGAGCGGCCGAGCAAGGACTGTCCCAAGCTGAGCATGCTGGCAGGGGCTTTGCAGGCGGCAGCAGAGTCCCTGCCCGACCCTATGCACATGCACAACGGCTCCCTCGAGCAGAACGAAGAACCAGAAACCTCACCGCACTCCCCGTCCAGACACGCCAACCACACAGAGCCTGGGCCGGAGGCTGACCCCGGGCCGGAGGCAGAGCCCGGGGACAACAGGGACTCCAAGCTCCTCCTGCCCGAGGGGGTCAGTGGGAAGCAGCAGGAGCCGCTGTCCTTTCTCCTGGACATAATGCATCACCACAAGGAGGGGACTGGCAAACAAAAGCCAAAACAGGCCGGGAAGGCCGGCAGCGAGGCTGGCAGGAGGCCCGTGGAGCCCCCCAGAGCCTCCGAGAGCCAGCCCAGACCCCGGCCTCAGACTGAGCCAAAGGCGAAAGTGCTCGACCTCACTTCCCTGGCGGAGCAGAAGCGAGAGGACAGGAAAGCCAACAGCAACAACAACAACAAGAAGCAGCTGAACCACGTCAAGGAGGGGAAGGCCAGCCCAGGCCCCTCGGAGCCCGCCTGCCCCAGCGAGCCTGCGCACAGCAGCAAGCCGGTGCCGGCCGACTCCCCACAGCCCCGTGGCAAGAGCAAGAAGAGCCGGAAGAAGAAGGGAGACAGAGCCGGCAGCTCGCTCGGTAAATTGGGGGAGTCTGTGATGAGAGTGCTGTGCCCGCTGTGTCCCCGCTCGTGTCGGTTGCGGTCAGTGTCAGTGTCCAGAACACTCGCCTGCATGCCCGGCCCGGCCTGGAGGACGCGGGGGGGGGTCTCCTGTGCAGCCTCGGGGGCTCATGCTTCGGGGGAGTCCTTGATAATACTTGCTTTCCTCTGGAAATTGGTCTAGTTAGTATTTCTGTCTCTAATGAGGTTAATTTTGATGAACTGCATATCTGTAGTAAATTACCCTTTTAAACTAGATTTTCTAATTTATTTACCTAGAGATCTGCATACATAATTGGTTTATTTTGTAACTTTTTGATTGGCCACGGAAGCAGGTGGCTGCGATGAGACTTGTGGTGAAGTGTCATGAAAATGACGCTGTGGGGCGGTGGGGTTCATGAGGAACTTGCCAGAACTTACTGGCCAGGCGCAAGGTCTGACTTGAGAGTGAGGAAAGAGGTGGCTTGCAGCAGCCAAGGGGTGAGGTAGTGCCCGCGGGGGGTCAGATGCTTGAGGGCGGATGCACAGAGGAGGCGCTCTAGGGACAGAGATCAGGATGGAGGTCCAGGTAGGCTGGGGGTTTGGTGGTGTGGGATCCAGGTGTGGTTGAAAGCACAGGGACCCTGGAGGCCAGAGGTGTGGGGCAGGGGAGGGAGAGCCAGACGGGGAGGGGGTGTGGTCCTGTGGTCATGCGCGTCCTTAGGTCCTTAGGGGAAGCTTTTCAGGGGGTTCCTGTGAGCTCGCAGTTGTGGAGGCACTCCCCCTGTGCTGTGCGCCATCGCCAAGTGTTAGCTGCTGTTCTGCACGTCAGCCACGCCTTGGTCATGCTCCTGTCAAGTGATAGGAAGAAAGGGAGCCCCTTTTTATTAGCCTCCAGCACATGGTCCCGGCTGAGGTCTGCAGGGGTTGAGCCTCGCCTCACCGGCCTGGTGCTGAGGCTGTGCCTGAGCCATGCGGCCTGCTGTCCCCTCACTCCGGCTCAGGCTGCGGCAGGCCAGCCCGCGGTCCCCTCACTCCGGCTCAGGCTGCGGCGGGCCCGGGACGGCCTCGTGAAAGAGCCCCCCTATGGGTGGGGCGGCGGGGGTTCCTGGTGAGGCCGGTGCTACACTACAAACCGAACGCCAGCAGAGCCACTGCCGGGCCCGGCCTCCTGCCCTCTTCCTGTGATAGGCCCAGAGGGACAGTGCTGTCTCCCCGCAGGCCTTCCTGCCCCGCCTCCCTCCCTCCAGCAAGGGCTTGGACAGCCTCTGGGTGGAGGGCTCAGGGCCCCTCTGGCCTCCCGGCACGGAGACCCAAGTTAATGGCGCCGCTCGGGATCGGCCGCCAGCAAGTTTTAGTTTGTGAAGTTGTTGCAGTTTAATAAAATCAGAGTTCCGCTCTGTTCAGATGCCTGCGCTTATAATTCGACTTCCCTTTTTATTTCACAGATGATGTCTTTCTGCCTAAAGATATCGACCTGGACAGTGTGGACATGGATGAGACGGAGAGGGAAGTGGAATATTTCAAAAGGTGAGCGGCAGCGGCTGTCTGGCTCCCGCAGGCCCCGCAGCTCTGACGGCAGCTTTCCTGCATGTGAGGCCCGGCACACACGGACCTCCTCACTCTCACCCTCACTCTTACTCTCACTCGTGTCCACTTCTCCCCTCCCCCATGTGTGCAGACTGGTTTACAGCAATGGTTTCCAAAAGGGTCAGGGCCACAGCATCACCTGGGAACTGGGGTGGCTCCCAGACCCGGAATCCGTCGGGCGGAGCCCAGTGTCTGCTCCCACAGCCTCAGGGGCATGCACATCGGGGCAAAGTGACTGGTCTGGAGCACAGTGGGAGGGGAGCAGGGTGTCGGCAGCAGGACCCACCAGGTCATAGGGGCCTGGCCTGGGTTCGGGGCGGAGCTGTTCTCTGAGGGCAGGGGCAGCGCAGGTGAGCGTCCTAGCTGCTGTGGGGCGGGGCACGGGCTATCAGAGGACTTGCCAGCGTCAAGGGGGACAGCAGGGGCAGAAGGGGGAGCTCTCGAGGTGAAAGGTGCCTCACCAGCGCGGGTCTGCAGCTGTGGCGAGGAGGAGAGCCGGGGTCTGCGACGGCACAGGCCTCCCTCCCTGGACGGGCGTGGGCTGCAGGTGCTGCGCTTGGACAATGAACCAGAGTGTCGGCAAACACTCATTTTATCTGCCAGACTCGTGGCAACAATATAGTCATTTTCAGGTTCGTTCAGATTTCTGCCACCCAGATTCGAGCTGGAAAGGTGAAGGAAATGTCCTTCTTTCCCTGAGTACCAGGCTTGCCCATTGTTACGGAAGCAGGTGGCACCCGTGGTCTTGGCAGATGCTGTTGAGCACAGTGTGTGATTGGAGCAGGAGAGCGGAGGCTGTGGCCCTCCTGGCCCTCGCTGTCCCCAGGCCCAGAGGGAGCGACTGGGGCTGTGAAAGGTCTCCTTTCAAGTCACTCGCGCCTGTGAACTTGAGGCAAAGCGCGGGCAGGCTGGCATCCCCGGTGTCGCTCATTGAGAATGGCAGCAGCACAGCGCCCCCTCCCCGGGGCTGTGGGGCCCCGGGTGCCCAGACGGGCTCATCAGAACCTCCGTGGCAGCTTCCCTGCAGGGCAAGTGGAAAGGATAACACAAACGGGCGCCCGCCACGTCCTGAGGACGGGGACCAGGTGCGGCCGGGCGGCAAGGCGTGGGGGCCGCACTGAGCCCAGGCAGCTCCAGCTCCGGTGACTGGTGTTTTGTCTTCCAGATTCTGCTTGGATTCCGCCAGGCAGACCCGACAAAGACTGTCCATCAACTGGTCCAACTTTAGCTTGAAAAAGGCCACCTTTGCTGCCCACTGAGTGAGGATCACCGGAGAGGGACGCACGGGAGCTCGCCAGGCCTTGCCGGGGGGCCACAGCGCCTGGGACCCAGCCCGAGGGTGTGCCGCCCGCCCGCCCGCCCCGTTAGCTTGTGTGCGTGTCGCCTGTGAGCCTCTGATCGTAGCTCTGTGCCCTCGGGTTGGACAGTAGCTCCCGCCACTTCTTCCGCCACCGTGGCCCCCGAGGCCTGGGCCTTGGCCACAGACGAGTTTGCATCATCCACGTGGCTCCGTGGCCCCTGCATCTCACCCTGTCCTGTCATCTGTCCCCCTGGGTGACGCCCTCACTCAGCTCCCACCCGAGATGGGTGGGTGGGCGGGCGGGGCAGGCACGCTCCGATCTCCACAATCTACTGTTCAGAGTGTACACGTTGCGCTGTTTGTGTCCGACCCCTGACTTGTAGCCAGCTTGTGTCCGACCCCTGCCGAGTGAGAAAGTTCAAAAGCAAACCCACCCAGTACTCACCACCCAGTCTGTTAGAGTGTACGACTGTATTAACACGGAGGCCTGCCTGGCTACTTTTTAACATATTGTTAAGTAATATTAAAATCATGTCTTTCTTTTTGAAAGATGGAATACATTAGTACAGTAGGAGACCTCGTCTGCTTGCTTTCTGCTGGGGGTGATGGGAGTGGGCGGGGCTGGGTGTGTGGGCGGCTGCCCCCTCCAGGGGCCTTGGGCCACCACCCCATGTGGGCCCAGGCCCCAGGACAGAGTTCAACCGGAAGTGGTAAGTGCTAGAGAGGCAGTGGGCGGGCCCCACCCAGAGGGGTGCCGGGAAGCCATCACCTTCACACCTGTGGGCTGACGGAGGCAGAGCAGAGGAGCAGGGTCCATCGGCCGGGGTGACACATGGCCTTGGAGGCAGCTTTGTGGGGGTTGTGATAAAAAACTGCAAATACCAAGTTGGGTGTAGGCCAGGAGTGTGAATAGTATTTAAAATGAAAAAAGGAAGCCCAGCTTGGTCCCTTCTGAGGTCTCAGGCAGTTTTCAGAAAGGGCTCGTAGAGCTGCCACTCCCCTAGATCACTCCATGGCTCCCACTGCACCTCCAGAAAACCTTCGAGGCCCTGCTTCTGTGCAGCTGCCTGGCGGGCTCTGAGCCGGGCCGGGGAAAGGGGAGGTGGGCCGGCCTGGAGTGTTCTGGCCTCGAGGGTTCTGAGCCCACAAGGCTTCCTGCCAGAGGGACAGAGTGCAGGTGGGGAAGGAGAGGAGGCAGGGACTCGGGCTCCGGCCTGAGCTCCGAGAGGGACAGTACTGCCATCCTCGGGGCTGCGGTCAGTCGCGTAGGCCTCACACAGGCCGAGTCCACTGCGGAACGAGGGCAGACAGAGGGTCAGAGCCCCACAGCCAGCGTGGAGGGGGAGGGGACGAGTAGCCGAGGCATGGAGCAGGGAGGCTGGGACTGGCTGCCGGGCGCGAGGGTGGGCAGTAGCTGAGGGAGCAGGGCAGGCAGGAGCCAGGGTGGCCACGGGGCTGCTGGTTCAGGTGGCGCGTGGCTCCCGGGAGGACCCTGCGGGGGGGACACAGGCCGCCTGAAGTGTCAGTGCTGCTGGTGTCTGCGCAGGGACACCTGGGGGCCTCAGCCTCCACCCTGGCATCCCGTGCCCGTGGGAACCTTTGCTGTTATTCACCCTTGCCTCAGGGCATTTCCCCATTGATGTTGAAAGAGAGCGGAAGGGAGGGGGTGACAGAGACATCGATGGGTTGCCTTCCCCCACGACGGGCTGGAGATGGAACCTGCACACACTCTGGGTATGTGCCCTGCCAGGCAGCCAACCGGAAACCTTGTGAACGGATGATGCTCCAAATCCAACCAACCGAGCCAACTGGCCAGGGCCTGAGGCCGTGTCTGAGCAGGGGCAGCACAGGGCAGTGTCCCCTCTGGGAGGGTGGGAGCAGGTCTGAGGCCCAGCTTCCTGCCTGGAGGCAGCTCTTGTTTTGCAGCTTCGCCTGTGCCCTGCAATGCTGGTTCGGGGCCGCGTGATCGCGTGAAGTCCAGCTGCCCTGAAGTGCCATGCCAGGAGCCCGTCACACGGAGAGGTTTTGATCTTTTCCTCAGCTAGTAATTTTACTTTTTAAATTTATTATTTTTATGTACATCCCCCGTCAGTCTGTTCTCTGTGTCTTGTTGGTTGGTTGGTTGGTTGTGTTCTTTAGATTCCGTGTGCATGGGCTCATGGTGCTTGCCTCTCTGCCTCACACTGAGTGGCCAGATTATTATGACCACCTGACGTTTGCAGGCAAATTAGCCGTACACTGCATCGTATGGGATATGGAAGCCGAAGGCTTGTTCAAACACCCTTGATGTCTGCAGTTACCAAGATAAAACGTCTCCAATTTACACAGGAACACAAGGATTGGACGGTCGAGCATTGGAAAAAAGTCATGTGGTCCGATGAATCACATTTCCAGTTGCATCATGCAGATGGCAGAGTGAGAATTGGGCGGAAACAGCATGAAAGCATGCAGCCCACATGCATGAGTACAGCCCTTCAAGCTGGTGGGGCAGTGTTATGGTTTGGGGCATGTTTTCCTGGCATGACTTGGGCCCTTTAATTCGTGTGGAACAACGTCTGAATAGCACAACGTATCTAAGTATCGTTGCTGATCAGGTTCATCCTATCATGTTGATGGCGTATCCAAATGGAGACGGCTTCTTCCAACAAGACAATGCGCCATGCCACGGTGCTCGTATTGTGCAGGAGTGGTTTCAAGAACACGAGGGAGACTTTACCTTGCTTAGGTGGCCCCCACCATCACCAGATCTCAATCCAATTGAGCATTTGTGGAACGAAGTTAAAAGAGGCATGAGGCAGCTGGTTCCACAACCATCAAATCTCACAGAACTGGACAGCGCTATTCATCAGGCATGGTGTCCGATTCCTCGCATCACCTTTCAACCTCTTGTGGAGTCAATGCCAAGAAGAATCGCCGCAGTATTGGAGGCAAAAGGTGGCCCATCGAAGTACTGATGGGGTGGTCATAATAATCTGGCCACTCACGTTCAAATATATCCCACGTTCAAAGGCTGTTAAATCGTGTTGTTTACCCACATCTTCACAAAAAAATCATTTCTGTCATGGTAAACAACCTGCTTCCCTATTTATAATGGTCTGGCCCTCTAGCAACTTCAGTGTGAAATTATAGCTAATTTGCCTACAAAGGTCAGGTGGTCATAATAATCTGGCCCCTCAGTGTATTTCACCGAGTGCCCTCGGTCCAGCCGTGTTGCTGCAGATGGTGACCTTCCATTCCTTTTATGCACACGTAGGGCCCCATCGCATGTATGTCCCACATCTCTCCGTGTCTGTCCATGGACCAGGCTTACTCCACTTCTTGATTATTGTGGATAAAGCTGCAATGAAAATGGGCTTCCCAGGCACCAAACATGGGGTATGTTTATCTTTTTTAATTAGGTTTTTTGTTTTCTTCAAATACCCAGAAGTGGAATTGCTGGGTCATAAGGCAATTCCATTTTTAATTTTTTAAAATATATTTTTATTGATTTCAGTGAGGGATAGAAACATCAGTGATGAGAATTATTGGCTGCCTCCTGCACGCCCCAGGTCACTCTCTCAGGCATTCGAGCATCGGCGGTACCCTTTCGCTTACCTATGCCCATATGCCTGCCCTTCCTGCGGGAATGGACAGTCACAGGCTTCCGGATGATCAGCCTATCTTTGATCAGCTTCCAAATCTGCTGCCAGGAGTTGGCGTTGGCGATTTCATGGGTCTCATGGGGTCCAACCAGACCTTCTTTTTGCCACAGCGGAGGACACTGGAGGCAAGCCTCTTCTGAAGCCTGAGCATCCTCGTGGCTGCTGCCACAGCGGCGAAAGGATTGATGTATTGATGGCAGCCATCTGGCAGGTGTGAGGTGGCACCCCATTGTTTTAATTTGCATCTCTTTGGTGATAGTGATGTTGAACATTTTTTCATACGTCTCTTGGCTATTCATCCTCTTCGGAGAAGTGTCTGTTCAGTTCCTTTGCCCATTTTTCATTGGATTGGTGTGGATTTTTTGGTGTTAAGTTGTATGAGTTCTTTATACATTTTGGGTGCTAACCCCTTATTGGCTGTATCATTGGCAAATGTCTTCTCTCGTTTGTTTGGATTTTTTGTTTTGTTGGTTTTTTCCCTGTGCAAAACTTTGTGGTTGGATGAAGTTCCATTTGTTTACTTCTTTAGCCTTCCCCTGAGGAGACATATCCAGAAAGATATCGCCAGGAGCAGCATAGAAAACTCAGTGCCTGTTTGTGAGCCAGCGGTCCCTCCTTTCTCCTCTCAGGGCACACAAACGAATTACTAAAGTAAAAGAATGTGTTTTTTTGCCCATCTGACAAAAAAAATAGGTATCATTTTGGTTCATTCACCAGACGGCTATTGTGTTGGCTGTGTCCTTTTTTTACTTGACAATCTAAGGGGAAGAGGTCAGGTATTGCGTTTTAAAAATTCTGTGGCGCACTGGTTAAAAATCGCTGCTCTTGGAGTTTATGATTTCAGCTGCTACACTTGCTTATTCTGTATATGATGTAAGAAAGTTTCATTTTTTTGCATGTATCGGTCCAGTTTTTCCATTTACTTTATGCATTGGCTTTCCGCCACTATATGTTCTCGCCCGTGTCAGAAAGTAACCGCACCTGAGCGAGGATTTACCTGGCTGGCTGTTCCACTGGCCCGGATGTTTGGTGCTGGTGCCGATCTGCTTTGGTTACCGTAGCCTTGCAGTACAGTTTGATATCAGAGAGCATGGCATCTCCCAATTGGTTGTTTCTCACGAGTTCTTTGGCTATTTGGGGTCTTTTGAGGGTCCATATGGGGCCGTTCCAGGCCCAGCACTGAGAGAGGAAGTACACAGAGCCCAGCGGGGCTGCCTGTGGAAGAAGCAGAGACTGGCATCTGGGGAGGCCGAGGGGCTGGAATTGTGGGGCAGCGTTCCAGGCAGGAGGGGCTGCACCCAGCCCTGGAGACCTGCAGCATCCCCTCGGACCTGCTCGCCTGCGTGGGTGGAATCAAGTTCTGTGTCTCAGGGGAATCGCCAGAAAGCAGGAGGCGGAGGGAGGAGTGGAAGATACAAAAAAGATGCCAGTGAAGCTTGTAAAGATATGAGAAGCACCCTGGACAGACCCACAGGCGAGAGCGCGCCGGCATCGGAGTGGGAACTGCCAGAGCGGAGCCAAGAGAGAAGAAGGAGAGGTGGGGCCACGCGCCCCTGTGCATGTGATGAACAGAAGCCCTGATGGAAGTCAGCTGTCCCAGCCGCTGTCCCTGCCTCAAGGGAAGTGGGAAGAGGGTGTCCCCCAGGAGGTGGCAAGCAGGAGGCAGGCTTCTCATCCGCTGATCTGGCTCCTGCCCAGGTGAAGTGCTGCTGGGCCCCTCGCCCCAGGCCCCGCCCTGCAGCCTCAGCAGCCACTGCAGCAAACGTGTTTATTATAAAAATAAGTGGCTACAAAGCACACGGCTCTCACCTCTGGACGTGTGACAGACACTAAGCAACACAGTGTACTCCATGGCCCTGCCGAGGCCGCAGTGCTCGGCCCTCCAAACCTGGGGTGCCCTTCCACCCTGGGACCCAACGTGTGGTTCCCTCAGGCAGCCTCCTATTCCCACGAGATGCAGCGTCCCAGGTGCAGGTGGGGGCGGGACTGTCACCTTGGCCTGTGAGCTCCTACTCCGGCCCCAGCCTGACAGCTTGAGGACCCAAAGCCCAGCTTCTGTTCCACAGCCCGAGGGGGACCAAAGTGAAGGCCAGAGCACCCTCCACCCGCATCTCGCAAGCCGAGAGCACCGGCCTGTCCTCCGCCTGGCTCACAGGCAGCACTCGGCCACGTGTCTGAAGAGCTCCTCGCCCTGCTCGTCGTTGAAGCACTGCAGGCAGTGTGGACACTGCAGCTCCCCCTGGCCTCTCCGGGCAGCTCCGGGGCACCCGCCCTCTGTAGGGGGGGCCAGGCCCTGGGGTGCAGACACAGGCCTCTGGCCACCAGGCACCACCAACTCAGAAGCATTGGTCTCTGCGCGCTTGGGTGCTCTGCTCCCTGTGTGGATCCGGCAGGAGCCTGGCTCTTGGGGGTCCTGGAGAAAAGGCAGAGGATGTAATGGCTGTGCCCGGGGCCACCATGCTGGTCTCGGCTCATCCATCCTCGCCCTGCTTCCTGCTTGGCCCAGAGCCCAGAAGAGAAGCGGTGGCAGGAGTAAGAGCGGAGGCCAAGCAGCACCTGGGGCCACAGGTCTCCTTCCTGGGCACGGGCGTCTCCCCGGGTGCATGGCAGTGAGCACCGGAGGCAGACAACCCTGGGGCGGCCACTGCTGTCACACCCCATGCCAACCTCCTCCGCAGACAGGACCACAGGAGGCTTGTCTCCACCACCGCGCTCGTGCCAGGTGCCAGGGATGGCTCTGCCAGAGCGGGAAATGGGTCTGAGCAGACAGAGGACTTGGCGTTCATGGGAAGGAGAGAGGCCTGAGCGCTCACGGGCCGGCCATCACACCCACCTGTCTGCGTGCCTGGCGCAGGGCCGCCACCTCATCCTCCAGCTCCTGGATCCTGCTCTGTGCCCGCTCCCGATCCGCCCTCTCCGACGTGAAGTCGTCCTTGTAGGCGAGGACCTGAAGAGAGCAGGCCCTCAGCCATCACCAGGCTGCACAGGGAGGGACTCGCCTGTCCTGCCCCTCCTACCTGCTGCTCCAGCATCTGCGCCCGCTCCCGCGCCGCCGCCAGCTCCCTCGCGGCCCCCGCACACTCGCTGATTCTCTCCTCCAGCTGCCGGTTGAGCCTGGCAATCTCCTTCCTCATCAGCTCCGCCTCGGGCTGGGGAGCCTGCAGCCCCCGCAGCTGGGCCCGCAGCCCCCGCACATACTCATCCCTGCTGGCATCGTAGCGCTGCCACTTGGCGTTGAGGTCTTCCACCTGCGGGCGAGTGCAGTGAGCGGCTGGCAGGGCCGCTCTCCTGCCCACTGAGCGGGAAGCTACTGAGGGGCGAGGAGCAGAGGGAGGGTCCCCGGGAATGGAGGGGCCGCTCCTCGCTCCGCACAAGCAGCGCCTTAAACACAAGTGGACGTTTCCGGCCTCGGGAGCCGTCTGGACGGTGACCCCTGCCCCCTCTAAGGACACGGGAACTGGCGGGCGTGGGAGCCACGGGCCGTTCTGTCCTCCTTTTAGGGAAAACACTGTGTAAGCCAGTGGCCCGAGGGCAGGGCCTGCCGAGCTCTCCCCGAGGGAACAGCAGACACTCACGTGAGTCACCTTCTGTTTCAACAGCCGGTTTTCCTCCTGGAGCTTCTCAACAGCAGCCTGGACAGAGGCGTCCCTGCCTGCATGTTCCGGCTGCACACAGAGGACTCGGTCACCAGGCATGTCGGTCACGTGCAGCAGAGGGGAAGGACCCAGACCCAGGGGCTGCGGTCACAGGTGCCCCAGGCCCACCCCGCTCTGGGGCCAGGCCACACCCCACCTGCCACCATCACAGGTCAGCAGGGCAGGAGGCTGAGCCCACTGTCCACCGAGCACACTCCGCAGGGGCCACGGAGCTACAGGGCAGGCCTGGCCGTGGCCTGTGCTCACCCCTTCCAAGCCCTCAACCCCATGGTCTCCAGACACTCAGGGTCAATTTCACGCCGGCTCAGGGGTGTCGCACCCAAAGCCACATCCCAGAGCAGCCCTCACAGGGGGCAGATCTAGCTGGAGACTCTCAGGGAGAGCCTGCCTCTGACAGCACAGCGGGCCCTGCTGACAGGTTCTGGAGAATCCCCGAACCACAGGAAGTGCTGGCCTCACTCACCGGGGGAAGCCCCATGACTCAGCCGAGCCCGGGGCTGGGAAGTGATGCTGACTGAGGCTGCGGGGCAGGCCCGGCCGGCCCACGCCCGCCCACGCCGGCCCAGCCGACCACCATGCCTGGCCACTGTGGATCTCCACAGGGAAAGGACAGGGACTCCAACCGGACGAGAACACGCCTCCTCCCAGGGGCCCTCTCCTTCGGTCTCTGGCACACGTGGCGCTGAGGTGCCCTTTGGGGGGAGCCCACCCAGCTGCGCCGGTTCTCGGGCGGAGTCTCCCGGGAAGCTGAGCGCAGAGGGGCCGCCGGCCCAGGGCAAGCGGAGCGCCTTGCGGAGCCGCCTGCAGGAGCCCAGCGAGAGGCCCTCCCGGGCCCAGCCTCCCCGCACCGCGGGCCGGGCCGGAAGGAGCAGGGAGGTCGCCTCAGCCCATGGCCCCCTCATTCCCTCTGCTCCCGACACCCCTCAGGAGCCCCTGTGGCTCCATCTGAGGAGATTCCTGACGCTGTGGCCTCACTGCCCCCTCCCCCAGCCCAGCTCCCCGTCGGGGGCCACCTGCGCCGCCCCGGCTCCATCCTCACTTCCTGATGAGGGCGCTGGAGCCAGAGGCCAGCTTCAGAGATGGCGGCCGCTCCGCGGGCTCAGACGCAGGGCCACTCGAGGCTGCGCTCAGTCCTCTGCACAGGCGGCCGGGGAGCCCTGCCCCGTGTCCCCGTGTCCCCGTGTCCCCGTGTCCCCGCGCCTGGGCCCTGCAGGCCGGGTGGGCGGCCCTGTGAGCCCAGCTTTCCTGTCACCTCTGCATGTCCCGTTGTTTATTTCATTTTACTTACTTTTCTTTTTTAATTTTTTCCCCTTTTTATTCTTTTTTTTTCTTTTCCTTTTTTTTTGTCCCATCATTTTAGAAGGAAGCCCTGAGGGCGGGCTCTGCCCAGCAGAAGCGGCTGGGTCTGCGCGCGGGGCCGGCTGCCCGCGCCTCACCACACCGTGCCCCCCACGCCCCCCCCCCCCCCCGCGCCCCTCACCCACCCCCCACGCCTACCTCAGGCCTCTGCTCCCCCGCGGCCCCCTGTCGTGCCTCCAGACACTGGGCCAGGTGCTGGCACATGTGGGCCGTGGCCGCCAGAGTCCTCCGCAGCTGGCGGGTCTCGTCGGCCAAGGAGCGGCACAGGGTGTCGCTGGCGGCCCGCGCCCGCTCCTTCTCCGCCACCCGCCGCCGCAGCAGGGCCACCTCCTTCTCGCGCTCCGGCCCCGGCCCTGGCTGGCTCCGCAGCTGCTGCGTCTCCTTCTCCTTCTCCTCTAGCTGCTCCGACAGCCTCTCAATTTCCTGGGAAGATTGAGAAGCGGATTTACTTCAGGAAAAGCACGTCAGAGACCGGTGTCTACGGCAAGAAACAGCCTGGTCCCCGTCGCTAGGCAACAGGCACACGCGCAGTCAGCTTCCAGACGCACAGCTCGCGGCCATCGGAGCCTCGTCTAGACCCATCCTCACCAGCAAGGCCCCCGTGTCCGTTCTCAGCAGCGAGGGACCCTGCCGTGCGCACTGACTGGAGGGCAGACGCCACCACGGCCCCGCCCGCACTTGGGAGGCGACCTGACCCAGAAGCAGGATCTTGGCAGAAGTGAACAGTTAGGATGGAGTCAGACTGGACTAGAAGGGACCCCATCAAATGACCAGTGTCCCTGTGAGCAGAGGGAGATGTGCACACACGGAAGGCCACGTGGAGGCGGAGACGGGAGTGGCATCTCCAAGGCAGAACACCAGGCGGGCACTGCCACCAGGAGCGGGAGGCCAAGAAGGACCCCGGAGCCCCGGGGCGCCTGCCCTGCCCACCTGGGTGCGGCGAAGGGTGACATCTCGGCTGCGTGAAGCACCCAGCGAGGCGCTGTCACAGGAAACGGCTTCGTTTTTAAAAAGTCCTACAATTGCACTTTGCTTTCTCCGCGGCCTCAGCCTGGGCGTCCCCGTTTTCAAGGAACCCCCTGAGGAGGCCCCGGAGCGCCCGGCCGCCCCACGTCCCCGCAAACAGCCTGGAAGATGAGCTGGGAGGAAGCGGAGGGAGGGGTGTGGCCTGCTGGTACCAGACACCAGGAACCTAGAACCTTCTCTTTTACAAAAACATCAACATCCAGAGGGGCCTAAACTGGAAACCGACATTCCTGTTCCCACCAGCCCCTCCACCAGCTGCGCTCAGAGAGGAGCCATTCCCTCTGGGCACTTCTCTCCAGAACCTCTCCAGGCACCGGGAACACGTGCTCCTACCAACCTCGCCTTCCCTCCGGAACCGCCTTTCTCCGCCCGCCTCGTGCTTTTGAACTTGGGGTTCCAGTTCACAGCCCCCACCTCCGCCGCCATGTGCTGCCTCCTGTCCTCGTGCAAACACCCGGGTAAGTGCCCACAGTCGCACGGCCGCGGTGGCTTTAGGATTGGGGTTCAGCACTAATGGGTGGAACTCGGGACCCCACCCCACCCCATGCAAACGCCTCCACGGGTCAGCCCAGCACATGACGGCACGCTCTGGCCCGTGCCCAGCGAACGTTCTGGAAACCTTGCCCTCGCAGGGGATTTCTGAGAGTCCTCTTTTCCCACTTCCCTCGGACTTTGCTCTAGAAACGAAGGAAGAGGGAAGGAGAACTTAAGTTAGCGTGGCCACCTGGCTCTCGCAGAGGCCTCGGGGGAGGGGCAGGCAGGCGGGAGGTGCAGGAGGGGGTGAGGCCATCAGACCCTGGCAGGGGAAGCGAGCCCCCCAAGGACAGGAGCGTTGGCGGGGCTGGCAGCGACGGTGACAGCCTGAGAACGGACGCTTCACGGGGCTCCTGGCCAGACCCCGACTTTCACTTTCACCCAGGAAGAAGCCCCTGGCGGGGGGGGGGGGCAGCGGGCATCAGCACCTCCTCCCGGCGGCCTGGGCCCCCAGGGCTGGGAGGCCACGGAGCGGGGGGCCTCTGCCCACGGCCTGTGGGCCCCCCACCCCCACCCCACTATGTGCCGCCAGTGGGGGCCGTGCAGGCCCCGTGGTAGCCGCACCACATGAGAAGCAGGAGGAGGAAGCCAGGTGGAACCAGGCTCTAACTCAGGGGTGGGCAAACTTTTTGACTCGAGGGCCACAATGGGTTCTTAAACTGGACCGGAGGGCCGGAACAAAAGCATGGATGGAGTGTTTGTGTGAACTAATATAAATTCAAAGTAAACATCATTACATAAAAGGGTACGGTCTTTTTTTCAATAGTTTTATTCATTTCAAATGGGCCGGATCCGGCCCGCGGGCCATAGTTTGCCCACGGCTGCTCTAGCTGCTGCTGTTCCCGTGGTGCTGAGCCCAAACACACACCCGCCTGCTGCTTGGCCTTGAACGTGTGTGTTTCCTTTAAAAACCGACCACTTTTTTTTAATTGAACTTTTTTTGAGAGCGAGAGGAAGGGAGAGAAACATTGATCTGTTGTTCCACTTATTCTCATGTATGCATTCACTGGTTGACACTTGTGTGCCCTGCCCAGGGACTGAGCCCCCAACCTTGGCCGACGGGGACGGCACTCTAACCAGGGCAATAACGGACCCCTTTCTGAAGGCCCACCCGCTGGTCAGGGCCTGCCCAGGTCTCACCCCACAGCTCGCAGGAGCCTCCTCACCTGCCGTGTTCTCCTCGGTCTCCTCGGCACCTGGGCTCTGCTGCTGCGTCGCTACCGTGTCCCCCGCCACCGCGCCCACCCCCCCACTGGACCTACTTCCCGCCCTGGGCTCATGTCCATTAAATGCTAGTTATTCAGATCAAAAGCTGCCGTTCCAGCAGCATGACCGAGACGGCCTGTCCTTGCCCCCGTCTGACACTGGTTTACTCAGGGTCACTGCATGCTTGTATATGAAACGCTGTCATTACACAAACCCATACAACATGCGACAGAGGGAATTCTACAACGAACACAAGACCAGAAGGCCAGTCTCCCGCGGAACCACAGATGCGGCAAACTAAGTCCCCACCAGCCATGCCACAGCGTGAGCAGGAGCGGCGACAGCGATCTCAGTCCTCACTCCACCCACCACACCATCTCCACTCACCCAAGAGCAGCTTCTGTCATCTCCCTTCTGCACATGGGCACGCGGAGGCGCGCGGGTTAGGGCAGCTGCTGGTGTGACCAGGAAAGGAGGCGGCGGTGCTGGCCGCCCAGCCTCACCGCCTCCATCAGCCGCAGCTCCCTCACACCCTGCCTCGGGCTGGAGGACCCGGGCAAGACCTGACCTCTAAGCCCCCTTCCTCACTGGTCAAATGGAACGGCGCGAAACGACATCTCTACGAACAAGGAGCAGCTCATCCCTGGGCCAGGGGTGGGGCGTGTGCGGTGGGGGGCCGCTCGCAGAGCTCCCCAAGGGCACTCTGTCCACGTGCCCCAGGCCTGGCACTGGCCCAGCCCCACGTGGAGGCAAATGCCTGGTTCCGACTGGGCAATACAGAGAGCAGGACCTGGGCCGTCCTCCACCTGCTCACAGCACACAAACCACAGGCAACGGCCATCCGCAGGGCACGTTTGGTTGACCCTGAAGGACTTGCCAGCCTTATTTTTTGTCTTAAAAATCAGCTTTCAAATGTCAGTGAAGGCGCTGGCCTGGCAGCTGACAGGTTAGAGTGTCGTCACAATATGCCAGGTGTGGTTCCATCCCTTGTCAGGGCCCATATGGGAAGCAGCCAATAAATGCAGAAGTGGAACAACAAAATCAATGTTTCTCTAAAACCAATCAATAAAGTTTTAATTAAAAAAGGCCCGGATCTGATAGCTTCACAGGTGAATTCTACCAAACATTTAAGAATTAATACCAATTCTCAAGTTTCCCAAAAAAAACCGAAGGAGGGGGAATACTTCCTATATTTCTGATGCCAGTATTACCCTGATACCAAGACAAAGACACTACACAAAACCTACAGCCCAATGCCCCTTATGAACTCTCAGCAAAAAATTCTCACCAAAATACTAGCAAACCAAATTCAGCAACATATTAAAAGGCTTACACACCATGACTAAGTGGGGTTCTTTTCCTAGAATGCAAGGATGGTTAAACTTATGAAAATTGGTCAATGAATGAATTAGATTGAATGTGAACATCTCACAATATATACAAATATCAAATCATGTTGTATACCTGAAATTAACATATCAATTATGTCTAAAGGGAAAAAAAGCAGTTTACATTACAATACCAGTGTTCTGGGCTGGAAACTTAAGTTGGCCTAGTTCCATGCTTACCCTACACTCAGTACTGCCCCACGGCACCTCCCTCCATCCCTTTCACAACTTGCTTCAAGGAGTGACCACTTATGTGCATGTATGACCTGCAATTAATTTAAAGGGCAGGAAGTGGGTCTCGATCGTCTCTGCACTGCCTAGCCTCCTGTGAAACAGCGTGCAATGACCCACTTCGCACGGCAGCAAAGGCGTCACACTTTGCCCCATCTGACCTTACAGCCACCTCCTGTGTCATGCTCCACACACTCTCCACGCCAGTTATACTGGCTAAGCGCTCCTACCGGGCCTGGCACAACTCGGTGCTACACACCCCGGGAGATGACAGCCTACACTCAGTGCTGGGAGAAAGGGAAGAACCATCCCCAGGTGTCCACACACACTCTACTTCCACAGAAAGGATTCTCGGCGGAAAAGGCCCAATAAACACCTGAGTAGCAGTGGTCAGTAACATTCACATCTGCGTGCCCACTATGTGCAGGAGATGAAGCCGTGTACTCGATATGTTAAACCGTGTGTTCACAACGTAAGACAATATGCTACACATAATATTTTCGACAGGCAATAGGTTATTTCTACAATGTCTATTCACTCAATGAGGACATGAGCTTCATAAAGACAGAAATCAGCCTTTCTTGATCCTTTCTGCATTTTTAAAAATATTTTTCTATTGCTTTCATAGAGGAAAGGAGAGGGAGAAAGAGAGAAACATCAGTGATCAGAGAGAATCACTGATCTGCTCCCTCCTGCAGGCCCCACACCGGGGATCCAGCAGCAACCGGGCATGTGCCCTGACCCCACGCTCAACCACTGAGCCACCCCGGCCGGCCCTGTCTGCATTTCAGTGCCCATCAAATCCCCCGCGGGGAATGCCGCGCCAGGCAGGAAGACAAGTGCCCTAGACCTCATCTACCTGCGGAGGTAAAGGACGAAATAAAGGCCAACACAAGCAGTCTCGGAGCAGAGATCAAAGGATGGAGGCGGGAGGGTGGACGGGAAAGGAGAGGGGCTCGCCATGGCACGGGCAGTGCGCCCGGCGGCAGGTGGCCGTCAGGTAGGAAACTCAGCACCGCGTCCTGAACAACCCGCCCACCCACGATTCCCGGTAACTCCCAAGGGCGCAGACACGCCCCTGAGGCCTCGATGGGCCCGGCGCCCATCACGCACCCGCACCCGCACCCGCGCCCAGCCCCGGCCGGCGGGCGCACCTGGCGCAGCGCGGCCTCCACGGCGCCGGCGCCGCCCTCCCGCTGCCGCAGCTGCTCCCGGAAGCGCGCCACCTGCTCCAGCAGCGCGTCCACGAGCGACGGCGCCGCGTCCCCCTCCAGCGCGGCCAGGCGGGCGCGGAGGCGCTCAATGAGGGCGTCTCGGGCGGCCAGCTGCTCCTGCAGGCGCCTCAGCTGCTGCCCCGCCTCGTGGTACAGGCCGCAGAGAGTGGCGGCCGCGCGCGGGGCCCCCTCCCGCCCGCCGGGCCCCGCGTCCCCCGACGACATGTCTGCGGGCCTGGACGGGGAAGCGCGCGGCCTTCGGGCCACTTCCGCGCCGGGTCGGGGCCGGACGCCCACCTCCCGGAACTTTAGTCTGCGAGCCCCGCCCCCGCCAACAGCTGGGACCCGCCCACTTTCTAGCGCGTAGACCCGCCCCCCGGGGGCCCAGGACCCGCCCATTTCCCGGGCCCGCCTGCCGCCGAGTGTCGGTCACGCCCACTTCCTAGTGCCAGGACCCGCCCATTTCCCGGCCCCGCCTGCCGCCGAGTGTCGGTCACGCCCACTTCCTAGTGCCAGGACCCGCCCATTTCCCGGCCCCGCCTGCCGCCGAGTGTCGGTCACGCCCACTTCCTAGTGCCAGGACCCGCCCATTTCCCGGCCCCGCCTGCCGCCGAGTGTCGGTCACGCCCACCGCCGGGAGCCAGGGCGAGCCCACCGCCCTGAGACGGGCTGTCCCCCATCCTGTCCGGGGCCCTGTGGCTGTCCACGCACGCGGGTGCTGGCTTATCCCAGCGGCCCCCTCCCCCCGCATCTGGGGCCGGACGTGGGCAGGGGTAGAGCGGCCTCTGATGTAGCTACTGATGGGAGGAAAAGAGGGCGTCAGAGACGACCCCAAGTTTGGGACCTGAGCGCGGATCCACAGCCCCAGCTGCACGCCGGTCGGTTCCTGGAGCTACAGGGAGAGAGACGTCCCCAGAGCTGAGCCTAGCGAGGTGCCCACCCACCCGGGGCGCACGGGGCGCCCTCCCCCGCATGCCCTGCTCCAGGGACGTGTCTTGTTCTTGGAGCAGAAAGAAGTCCGCAGGGAGCTGCCCTCTCCACGCTCGCTTCTCAGCATCCCTTTCCTTTCCCCGGTGATTTTCCGTGGCTCCACGCCTATTTCTTTTTCAGGGTCCGAGTTTTGCCCATGATGATGCCCGAGCATATGTGCGGTCTTTCAAAAGGTTCCTCCGGCCGAATCGCTGCTGGCCGCTGCCCTGGGCGGGTGCCCCTCCTCGTCCGGGCCGTGAGCTGCATCCTGCTTCTGCCCCTTTGCCTCTTCGGAGCCGAGCTGGGCGGAGCCTTGCATCAGCCAAGCCGGCGGCGAGCCTGTGCCCTCCCCACCCGCAGGGGCGTGGTGGGGAGCGAGCGCGGAGTGCACAGGGTCGGCCCGCCCGTAGGAAGGACAGGCTGGGCGCCGGCGGTGGTGGAGGACGGAAGCGCTCTTAGCTCCGGGCCGTCTTCGTTGCTCAGTGCTGTGTGACCTGGCGTCGGTCCCTGTGAAAATGAATAAGGAAACCTCACCAAACGGAGGCGGCCGGCCAGAAGGGGGCGCTCTCACCCAGGACCAGCTGATGGCCATTACCGGGAGAATTGTCCATTGGGCTCCAACTGAGAGTCCTCGATTATAGGCCCCAACAGGTAAGGATGTGCAGCTGGCCCCGCCGGCGGGCTCAGTGGCTGAGCGCCGACCTATGAACCGGGAGGTCCCGGTTCCATTCCCGGTCAGGGCACAGGCCCATGGGGGGCGTTCAGGAGGCAGCCGATCCATGATTCTCTCTCATCATTGATGTTTCTGTCTGTCTGTCTCTCTCCCTTCCTCTCTGAAATCAGTTTTTTAAAATGTACAGCTGGTCCTCCGATAACCTCTTCTTTAATTATAACGTTGATGAGAAAAAAGTCGTTTCCCAGCTGGGACCACTTTCTGGAATTGACACGTGTTCCGTGTGCGTGTGTATGTGTGTGTGTGTGTGTGTGTTCCCGCATCTCAACGAAGTGCACAGATTACCTTGTGAGTTGAATGGCATGTCCGTATTGTCCCAGTCGGGGTGGGTGTGGGTGTGGGTGCGGGTGCGGGTGCCCCTGCAGTGGAAGGGCATCCTGCCTGGGTGGGGTCCCAGGAGCCTTGCGCCCTTCGCGGGAGGACTGGCCGCTTGTGACCCTGAACTAGAATAAGCTGGTTGGAAAACAGTGATCTTTGTCTTCCTTAATCTTTCTTAAATGTATTGCAGCTCATATTTATCTCAATGTTTAGTGTTAGAAGTGTTTTGAGTCTTTATTTAGAAATTTGGTATTTTTCTGACTAGAAATATGCTGCAGGAACTTAACTTTGTTGTTGTTGTTAATCCTTACCTGAGGATATTTTTTACATTGCTTTTTCAGACACAGTGGAAGGAAGGGAGGGAGGGAAGGAGGGAGTGGAGAGAGAGAGAGAGAGAAACATCGACTGGTTGCCTCCTGCACACGCCCCAAGGTGGGGAGCAAACCCCCAAACAAAGTATGTGCCCTTGGCCAGGAATCGAACCCACAACTCTTTGGTGTGCAGGCCGACGCTCTAACCACTGAACCAGGCCAGGCAGCTTGGAACTTAACTCTTATTTATACAAACTAACCTAGGGTAAAATTGGTTTCGTTATATGTCGTTTTGCTTAAAGTCACAGTTTCCAAAAACCTATTGTTCACCATCCTACAAAAATCAACTCGGTATTGTCACCAAAAAGAATTTATTTGTGAAAAAGAAAAGATTTCCATCCGGTATGTGCAGAGTTGGGGAGCCAGGTGCACACACTGAGGGAAGTCGAGGGGAGGGGCTGCCCACCAGCCGGCTGCTGTGAACAATTCTTCCTGCTGGGCTCTAGACATTCAGGGGGCGGGCTCCTCCCACACGTCCTGGCCCCTCCCACCCACATGGCCCCTCCCATATGTCCTAGCTCCTCCCACGTGCCCTAGCTCCTCCCACACATCCTGGCTCCTCCCACAAGCGATGGTCCCTCCCACATGACCTGGCCCCTCCCACGTGCCCTAGCTCCTCCCACACGCCCTGGCCCCTCCCAGGGACTCTTGCCTTCTGTCCAGGTTGAGGTCTCAGTCATGAGCTTTGCGCCCTGCGACACGGAGGATTACTGGACATGGCGTCTTCTGGGAGAAATCAGCTCCCCCAGCCACTCGGCCAATAGGCGGTAAGAGGCCGTCGTTACCCTGAGCGCACACGTTCCTCCAGTGACTTCCCTTCCAAACAGCCCTTCCTTTACCCGTCCGATGACGTCCCTCTCCTGCGTTTGTTGGTTTGTTGGACTTGGCGGCGGCTTATTGCTCAGGCGGCTTGTCTCAAATTGCAATTCCTTGCTGTCTCTGATTAAACCCATCGTTTCTGGTAAAATAACGGAGTTTCACTTTTTATTTTTTTAGTATTTTTTTGTTAAGATTTTTTAAAATGGATTTTTAGAGGTAGAGGAAGGAAGAGAGAGAACGAGAGAGAACCATCAATGGAAGAGTGAAACATCTATCCGCTGCCTCCTGCACACCCACCCCTACCCAGGATGGAACCTGCACCCGGGCATGTGCCCTGACCGCGAATGGACCCGCAACCTTTCGGTGCATGGATGGCGCCCAACCAACTGAGCCACACTGGCCAGGGCCGGACTGTTGTATTTTTCAGGTTGACACCTGGAGCCTGGTTCCCACTGTGAGATGAGCGCTGAGCCTGTCCCTCGGCACTGGGGGTCACGGTGTTTGGGAAGGAGCGCCTGGGTTGTAGGGAGGAACCTGTAGCTGGGAGCGGCCTCCAGAGCGACCCCATCGCCTGACACTCGGCCTCGGATGGACCAGGTGACCAGGGCATGACTCCTGGGCTTGGTCTCAAAGCACCGCAGCCACTGCCTCGCCTGGGAGGGCTGGCCCTGGGCAGCCACGCACATCATGAGGACACTCGGGAGCCCTGGAGAGGCCACGGGAGGGGCTGGGACAGCTGAGCCATGGCGGGAGCCCAGCCCTCTGCAGGCTGTATGCACACAGGGGTGCCACCCCCACCCCAGCTCCCAGGCAGGGGGAGCCAAGGAAACCATCCTCCGCTGGTCCTGCGGGGGACCCCTGGGAACCTGGAAGTCTGGGGAAGGAATTGGGGTCACCTCCCCCCTGGTGTATTTGAGCAGCTGTGGGCACCATCATATCTACCCCTAAAGGCAGCAAAGGGACGAAATTCTGGACCCTGAGGCTGAGGTTGGGGGCATGTTCGGACAGAGCAGTTCCAGCCCCCCTGTTGGTGGTGGGAGCCTGAGTTGGCCCCTCCCTTCTGTTCCACACCCGCTTGTCCCCGCTCTGTCCCCAGAGCCCTTTCTGACCTTGCGCCCTCGTCAGAGGGCGTGGGGCTGAGTAGAGGGAGGCCTGGACAGGACCCTGGGCGGGGGGGGGGGGGTGGGGGGGGTGCGGGCCCCAGGAGGGCCCTCCTGCCACACACCTCTGGCCTCAATGCTCAATAGCCACCTGGAGAAACGACCCCTGACCCACCCGCACAATCATTTCCTTTTTTTTTTTTAATATTGTTATTGATTTCAGAGAGAGAGAGAGAGGGAGAGAGAGAAATATCAATGATGGGAGAGAATCATTGATCAGCTGCCTCCTGCACGACTCCCACCAGGGATCAAACTCACAACTCGGGCATGTGCCCCGACTGGGAATCAAACCCTGACCTCCCAGTTCATAGGTCGTCACTCAACCGCTGAGCCATACTGGCCAGCATCATTTCTTGATCAAGTGGTCAAAACGCAAATGCTGCAGGATTTATGTTCCGTTCCTGGTGGGTGCGGGCGCCTCAGGCAGCTGGGCTCATGGGCAGAGCCCAGGGACTTTGCACACCAAGGAAGGGCCCAGGCAGAGCAGAGGAGACGGGGACGGGTGCTGGGCTGCCTAGGGCCCTGGGCCCTGCCCCTCAGAGCTGCTCCCTGCCCTAGACCACACTCTGGGTCTCCAGGAGACCCCACTGGGTCCTCAGCCTTCCCCGTGAGTGTCCACAAGGGGGCGATGTGACTGGTGTTTTAAGGGGCCACCAGGTTTGGGGGCCAGAGCCTCAGGCAGGACCCAGAGTGTGTGCCAGCCCCACCTTCCACCCAGCCTGAACATGCACAGCCTGGCCCGGGCTCTCGTCACTGAACGCTGTGTTGGTGTAAGAATGTCCAAACCTGTAGAGAATTGTTTCCTTTAATTTATTGATTTTTAGAGAGAGAGAGGAAGAGAGAGGAAAAAAACATCAATTTGTTGTTCCACTTATTTTTGCATTCACTGGTTGCTCCTTGTATGTGCCCTGACCAGGGATCAAACCCATAGCCTTGCCCT